GCGGTGTAGGGAGCGGTCAATTACAAAATTAAATCAGGCGTTAAGGCATCGATATTTATTTAGGAGGAGCGGTGCATTATTTACCGGAAAATATCTCTTCCGATAGACGATCTATGTTGATTTTCAGCTATGATATCATTAACTTTAGAACTCAATATTCTACTGCCTGGGCAAAATCGAAAGGATAAACACTGGCAATTTCAAAAAGATCAACAGGGGGCCAAGGGATGATCCCGGGATATAGCCGCTGCCCTAACTTACGCCAGAAGGCTTACAACATAGACTAGGTTTCTCATTCACCGAGATGTTAAGAAGCTGTTCCCATATCTATAATTAACTCGATACCGAGGTACCCCAGGTGGCTGAAATATGTCCCCAAATCGGCCTTACTACGGACAATTCCTGGAGTGTGTTTCATTGATCTAGGACATTGACCAAACGGGGTTGATGATATTTGGGAAAAGGGATAGAAATCAACCCCAAGTGATTGGCAATAAAAACAACCTTGGAATAAAAAGAAATATCCGAAAGCTTGGCAAATCTGATAACTCTTCATGATTTTATTTCGACGCGCGCTTTCCGGTTTCTGGAGAGAACATTGTTGGCTCATAATGCCAAGGTTCCATAATAAATTTCCAAGCAGCCACACGAAGCTTGAACTGACGTTGGAAACGAATAGACCCGATGGGATCTCCATGACGGTAACTGGATGCAGTAAAGATCTCTAAGCCACTGGCGATCTGATTAGATCTTGTTATATTGTACTGGCCGACGCCGGGTCGTCTTCGGTCCCAGTGGAGAAAGGGTCCACGGACTGGGCGAATATGTTTGGACTACATTATATATTTACATCGCGCATGTTGTAACACTTTTGATATACGAGGAAAGGATTATCCCTTTGACCCACATACGAGCATTCAAAACACAGCAACCCAATGTGCCGACTTCGGTGTTTTATGTGGGAATTTCCCATGTTTTATTTTATATTCTACTTGCCTTTCCCTCGTGGTTTCAAAATACTCTTGAACCCTTCCACCTATCTGAGTTCTTGGGATTTTGTGTTTCATATCCATTGCCATGACGCTTCGTCCATTGATGCAAAGGGCCCGGTCGGTGTTTCATCGGATGAAAGTCGACAGAGACGAGGCTGCAAGTTCTTCGGTCGATGTCGATAGAAGCACAGTAGAGGCAGAGAAGTCAGATGGACCAACCACCCATCCCGAAGAGGCACTTCCAAACAATGGTGCCGAGCTACCCGGTGTGCCCTTTGAAGAGCTTCAACATGGTATCCAGGAAGTTGAGGCCGTGGCTCAGACCTGGTCGAAACTGTCCTTAATCTTCGTTTTCGTCAAGTAAGTCAATTTACCCCCATCTTCTATACTTTTCCTAATCTTATACTTTCAATAGTATGTGGTTCCTTTACTTCACTTATGCCTGGATATCGTCAGTTGATGGTAGCTTGAGCACTTATGTCGCTAGTTCTTTCCAACAACACTCTCTATCTGGACTTCCTACTGCCATTGCAGATGCGTTTTCCGCTGCCGTCTACCTTCCAGTGGCCAAGATGATGGACACTTGGGGTCGAGCCGAAGGGTTCCTGGTAATGTCGATTTGCGCCACCGTGGGTCTGATTCTCATGGCCTCTTGTAATAGTTTCCCTGTCTATTGCGCCGCAAATGTAAGAGAGTCTGGGTATATCTATAAAATATCGAGCAGGTGCTAATGAGGTAATTAGGTGTTTTACTACATCGGATTTGGAGGCATGCAATTCGCCGTGGACGTTATGACTGCCGATCTGTCGCAGTTAAAAAACCGAGCGCTTGCATACGCTTTCACGTCTTCTCCATACATTATTACAGCCTTTGCTGGACCAAAGGTGGCCGGTTTATTCTACGCCAATACTGGCTGGCGATGGGCTTATGGCACTTTCGCCATCATCTTCCCTATCGTGGCTGCTCCGTTGTTCTTCGTCCTAAAGTTCAATCTGTCAAAAGCCAAGAAGGGAAATGCTGTGGTTATCAGAGAGAACAGCGGACGATCCTTCCTTCAAAGTGTCTGGTTCTGGACTCTTGAGTTTGATTGTGAGTGTTCCAGACTCCAATTGATTCGTCTACATAAAGCTAATACCTCTTATAGTAATCGGAGTTTGTATCTTTACTGCAGGACTTGTCCTGTTCGAGCTTCCATTTGATCTTGCTAGCGAGGCTCCTAACGGCTGGGGCACAGATTATATCATTGCTATGATTGTTATAGGATTCTCAATGCTCTTCTTCTTTGCCTTCTACGAGAAGTACATCGCTCCTACGCCTTTGCTCCCCTACTCCTTCCTAACCAACCGAACCGTCGTCGGTGCATGCCTTTTGGATGCCACGTACCAGCTTTCAAACTACTGCTGGAACAACTACTTCTCAAACTTCCTTCAAGTGGTTAATGATCTCACTATTGCCGAAGCTGGGTATATCACCAATACATTCGACGTGGTTTCTGGTATACTTTTGTTCTTTGTTGGATGGGCAATCCGAAAGACCGGTCGCTTTAAGTGGCTCCTTTACATTTCCGTTCCTCTATACATCTTTGCCCAGGGCCTGATGATCTACTTCCGTCGCCCCGGCCAGAGCGTCGGTTACCAGGTCATGTGTCAAATATTTATCTCCATTGGTGGCTCGATCTTCATCATCGTCGAGCAGCTAGCTATCCTCGCTGCCGTGGATCACCAGCATGTCGCTACAGCCCTTGCATTGCTCAATGTGGTCGGCACCATCGGAGATTCTGCAGGTCTTACTATCTCCATGGCAATCTGGAACAACACATACAAGAAGGCCCTCACGTGGTATCTCCCAGACTTGACAAATTTGGACATGATTTACGAAGATCTCGAGACTCAGTTGAGCTACGCTCCTGGTACTCAGATGAGAGAGGCCATACAGAAAGCGTACGGCTATACACAGGTTAGGATGCTTTCTGCTGGCTTGGGTGTGATGGTTCTGGCATTTGCCTGGACTATCATGATCAAGAACATCAACCTGAAGAAGGTTGCTCAGGTCAAGGGTATGGTGTTCTAAGGGATCAACGTGGACCTGAAAATGTTCATTGTCTGTCACCCACTATCTGGGCTTTGTGCTTTGTTTGTCTGCACAATTTGCTTCCTCCTTCTGTTGTATTTATTAGGTTTGGAAGCACATTATAGTGCATGCCATGAATGAATATATATATAAATATATTTCTTTTCTATCTATAACATTGGATTTTAACTTCTCTTTTTTAAAGCCGGCGTATCTTCTCCTTCTATACGCGACGCTCTATATCATAATATTAAACCCGTTACAATAAGGGGATGTCTAAAAACATAGGGGAGTTAAGCGAATCTTATAGCTATATATAGACCTCCGCGCCGGCCCATAAAGCCCATAGCCCAATTCGGACCAACCCGAAAATGGGCTGGTCTTTGGGCCAGTCCTTAGGCCCATCGACAGGCCTTGGGCCTAGGATAAACGCCCACTAGGCTTTTATGGGGGCCCAATGGGCCTCAAACAATACAAAAATGCCAATTCTTGGCAGATTCATAAATAATACAGATTTTTCTAGTATTTCTGAGTATTTAAATTACCGTCTAAGACCCAAGTTGACCGAGTCTTTATGGGAATTAAGTCAATCAATAGATGCACCTACTTCTGTCTACATGGAATGTAGTTAGTTATATATCTGCACATTGATAATCTATCACCTATTGAACCCCCGTATTAGGCTAGACTAGGGCCAGCGGGCCGAGATCTTCCAAGTAAGCTTACAGACTAGAACATGCGTAAAAAACAGGCATTATTCAGCAGGTTTATGAGCGCCAAGACTGGATTTATGTATAGAAATGGTCTTTGTTGGGGGCCTCATAGGCCCCCACTAATAATGGGATATCGGCCTAGTTGGTCTTTGAAGGTAGGGCCCATAGCCCACTGCTGGTTGGTTTCTGGGTCTAAGGTCCTGGCCCAACTCGGCCCATTGCGGAGGTATAGCTATATAATACGAAGGATACCCTACATCGACTAAAGACGCACATTTTCCAAGTTGGTCTTTCCAATAAGCAACCTATTCCTACATTTCAGATAGACGGCTTCTATTTATATTACTAATAACTAATCACATCCATGGAAGTACCTAGGTAGTTTCCAAGCCCTAGCTGGGATACACCGTCGCATACTTGCATACCTAGCAACATTAGCCAATGAGAGAGTTATGTCCCGCATAACATATTTAGTCACCACAATATAGTACCGTTAACTAATTCACAGGCCCGCAGTTTACATAATAAATGTAAGGGCCGAGTACCTAGGTAGGTAGTGTGTTACTATACAGCATTGCTGGAAAAGCATGTAGCACAGATATTCGCCAAGACATAAGGTCCAGCTAGTCCCGTAGACGCCACTGAGCTGGAAAGGTAGCTTGGTAGCTCTACGGATTTATTCTCTGAATATTAGTACCTTCAAAAGAACAGATGTGCCAATCCCTCGACGTACACATCGTTGAAGGGAAGCTATTTTATCTTATTTGGAATGCAGTTTCTAGTGAATGAGAAATATTCACTGCCGCTGAAGTTTCCTTGTTCAACTTCGTAACCAAAATATCAATCAGAGGGACAGTCAAATTTGCTATCTCTCATTATGAACCTTATTAGAAATAGACCTTTTAACGATAGGAATTGCATTGGAAAAGATCAGAAAGGGATGAATGAATGATCCCGTACATTATAGACGGATGAAATGAGTGAATATTCTTGCAATTACTTATAGTAGGTAGTGCAGAATTCCTCTTGCCCTAAGAGAATTAAGGGATAATTGTCCTTGCGTCAGACTTGCAACGATGAAAACCTTATTTCTAGATTGAAGCTATATTAAACAAGCTCCCAGTTGGTGCTATATGCTTCCAACTGAGCCTCAATTCAGGACGAGGTTGTGTCCATCTGCACTGTTCGGAACATCATATCTATACTTTATGATAATTGGAGAGTCATGAAGCAAGTGGCGAGTCTTCTTACTTTTGGCCTCGTCGCATTAGCTGCGCAGGCCGATGAAACGCAAAAATGCGAAAGGACCAAAGTTGCTGTACTGTACGATCATCCTTTATGCCTTGCACATGGACGTTCGGAAGAAACCAGAACTGACAATCGCCAGGGGTGCGGGTGTGGCCGGAGTCACTGCGGCGGTAAGTTTGCCGTTATACCAAGGATGGGCTCCCTATTTACGTATTCAATGCTCATGAATGCACAAAACAGAAATCACTCTCGGATCATGGGATTAATGACTTTCTCTTGGTTGAGTACCAAGACCGCATTGGAGGCCGTATGCATGATGTTACCTTCGGCAGCGGGCCAGATGGCCATCCGTATACTGTCGAAGCAGGAGCGAACTGGGTAAGCTTTTGGTGTGCCAATTGGAAGACAATTATGGGTATTTACTTACTGGTATCAGGTGCAAGGAACAGTCACGGGCGAGGGCCCTGAGAACCCAATCCACACTCTGGTAAATCACTCCGCCCGAATATTGTTATTATATGCAGCTGACGGCTTTCTGATAGGCCAAGAAGAACAACATCATAACCCTGTATGTATAGAGGTCGGGAAATTAAGATATGATGGCTAATGGCTATTGAAGGGAAACTGACCAGGATAACACAACATATTTTGATGAACAAGGTCCGGCGGATTATGATTATGCGATTCGCGAGTTCCAAGACGCTGTCCACAAAGTTACCATCGATGCAGGATCCCTCCTACAGAAAAACCTCCAGGATCGGTCTTTTCGGGCCGGGCTGCGCCTGCATGACTGGGACCCAGCCAAAAACGATTCCTACCGACAGACTGCTGAATGGTGGTTGTTTGATGGCGAATTTGCTTACACTCCTAGTGAGAGCTCTGAAGTCTTTACCTCGGTAGCTGAGAACGCGACCTTCAACTATTTCTCCGAGGAAAACCTTTTCGTATATGACCAGCGTGGCTTTGCAACCATCATTCGCGAGGAAGCGGCGGAATTTCTGACGGAAAACGACAGCCGTCTACGTCTGAATACGCAGGTAACGGGCGTCGACTACAATAGGGACTCTGTGACCGTGCAGACGAATCAGGGTTGCATCGACGCTGATTACGCTATCATGACCTTCTCGCTAGGAGTTCTTCAGAAGGATGTTGTGGAGTTTGCTCCACAACTCCCTTCTTGGAAGAAAGAAGCTATCCATAGCTTCGAGCTCGGAACATATACCAAGATTTTCATGCAATTCCCGGAGCCCTTCTGGGATAATGCGCAGTACCTCATATATGCGGACCCTGAAACTCGAGGCTACTATCCCGAATTCCAGCCCCTTGACCTCCCGGGTGTGCTAGAAGGATCGGGTCTCATGATCGCAACGGTTGTAAACGACCAGTCTTACCGAGTAGAGGCGCAATCCAACGAAGAAACACAGGCTGAAGTCATGGAAGTTTTGCGCAGCATGTACGGTCCGGAAATCCCAGACCCGACTCATCTTTGGTACAAGCGGTGGACACAAACTCCTTGGTAAGTTTCTGCACTATATCGTCCGGGCACCCAGAACATCACTAACGGCCCTAGGGCTTATGGATCCTACTCCAACTGGCCTCCCTCAACTAGTCTGCAAGCGCATCAAAACCTGCGTGCGAATATCGGGAATGTGTTTTTCGCGGGCGAGGCCACCAGCCAGGAATTCTTCGGTTATTTACAAGGCGCCTACTTCGAGGGCAAACATGTGGGTGAATTCATTGCCAGTTGCTTGCAGGAAACAGGTAACTGCGCAGTTACGGACGAACAGCAAAAGTATTCCGTTCTGACTGGAGTGACACCATACAATCTGTATAATGAGGAGCATGGATGGTTCGTGGATACAATCTCTTGATCACATCCGTACTATCCCATAGGGGGCTCCAGTCTAGGTAAACTGAGCTTGGTGGTGGATATCGGCCTAATGAGGCTGACATACCGGAGGATTTATTAATCCCACATATTTTGCTTGAGCCGGAAATACCCCTATCTCGTCCACTCCTTATGTACTGCATTTAATTCTTAGCTATAAGATCCACTCCAGGACTCTTAATTTTACCAACTACACTAATTTTACCAGTTACTGGAATATGGCAGCGCAATCACAAAGAGGGAGGCGAGCACCGGTAAAGCACATAGCTTCACCTTTTGAGTCAAGTGTAGTATCCTGATTGGGCTTAAACCAGGGGTTGTCGTACTTTCCATCGCATCCAAACCTGCTGCGCTCAGTGAGTTCTATCTATAGAAGGATAAGATATGCCGGCTTAGAAAAGAGAAGTTGAAATGAAATGTTATATATGAAACGTCCTTTATATAGAGTGTACCTTTTTAACGCCTTTACATACGCTTAACTCTCAGGTGGCCCAAGCTATCCCGCTCGACCTAGAGTAGTAATAATACGGCTATACTTCGTTATATCATATACGAACTTACCGAATTAAGATTGAACTAGTACCTTGTTGATCAACAGACTATACCGCCTACATTTTGTCCAGAGGGGTATTACTTTTGGGGGAGAGGACGGGGGGGACGGGATGAATTTTAAGTTTGTTCAACCAGCCACCTGGGCAGTTTCCGACGAACCTTAAAGGCTTAAGCGCATCCAGTGTTGTACCTAGGTAGTACCTGGGGCTTAACCGCAGGAGTTAGTATGTGGCTTGAATAGCAGCTCTCTAGATATACCCACCTAAGTAGTCTTCTTGTTGCATGTATATTAGATTGTCTAAGGATGGAGTTATCTACATATGCCGGCAGCTGACTACCCGTGGATATGCCAAGCTCATTCCATGGTTGGGCCTAGCTTAGCTCTGTGGGCCCGGGCTAATCGTGTGATTACGTAACTATCTGCATGGCTCCAATCTCGGAGGACTTCCGAGGTCACGCGCCACGAAATAACAATCGAAAAAATGGCCTAATATATCAATCCCATGGAAGGTCTTGGAATTCATTCTACGGAGAAGATGACAGGTTTTTCTATCGCCAAGGAATGCCAAGGTCCAAGGTGTTCTCCTGAAGCGCCTATCTTTCACAAAGAAAGATTATCTCTGAGGACCACACGTGCGTCTCTCGGACCTTCACTACTTATCAAACTTTTCGCACCCGTCTCCATTTCTTTTTAACGCTAAAGCGAAACTTATGGGGCAAAATTCAGGCATTGGTGGGACTTCAAAACAACCCACAATGCAGATCACACATATTGTGTACAGTATGTTTTACATGGTACTCCGTATATCTTTTCAGGTTCAGCCTCCAATCCCTTGCTTAAGCGCTCGGGTGTTACGGCCCCCCTGGAGAAACTGGAGAAACTGGAGAAATCTCAAATATCCCAGCGAGTGAGCTGACCGGAAAGACCTCGGACAATTAAGCACACGACCAATGTTGCTCCACAACTACCCGGTGCGGAGAGACTTTCGACTTGGGAGAAGTTAGCCTGAAGGACACCACCAATCAGTAGAGACGACAGGGGTTGTTGTGGCAAGATAATGTTACCCTGTCTTATCAGCTTTGCCGTCAATGTGGTTACATGTGGCTGTAGCTGGCTCTCGGCGAAACGGCTTCCCCGCTGTACACCGTCGGTCAATCCGTTCATTGGCATTCTTGTAACCAAACAGGATGAGAAAGGAATAAGGTCCGATGGTTAGTGCCCTATGCCAATCCTTGAGCTTTCTTTATCTCTGCTCCCCCGGAGCAATAAATTAATTTTTTTTTAAAAAAAAAAGACCACAACAGGATTCGAGGTAAAAAGAAATCCCAACGGGAGATCCCGAATTAATCCTGTGTCCGTGTTTATTATAAAGGTCCAAGTTTCCTCGGTGAGTCTGGATTAGGTATTTTTGGGTTTCACTCTTAATTGTAAATTTTGTCACGGGCGCCTGTACTCTTCGTCTTCCCATCGTCCAGAACTGTGACGGTGAAATCGTGATGGATAAAAACCAGGAAGCTGATCCTGCAGGATCGCAGGTTGTGCACCATGTAGATCCTGTGCTGGAGCCAGAGAATCAACATCACCATGCTCATCAACACCATACAGCCTTCACCGAAGAAGGACGTCAGGATGAAGTGGTCTATTCTAAGGATGCAGGATTTGAGAAAGACATCGTGTCTGAACAAACACCTGTGGATCACGGCAGCAAGAATTCCAGGGACGAGGAAGCCGGTGAAAATCTCCCAGCCAAGCGCACCTGGTATCGCCGCATGGGAAAACAATGGAGACATATGGTCCATGCTGTGGTCTGGCTTCTGTTTACCGGGTGAGTGAGCTATGAACCACTTTGGTTCTACTGCGATTACAGGGGTACTGTATGCCCTGGATTCAACTCGAGGCTTACACACACTTCTCTAGCTGGTGGATTGCCGGCCTGATACTACATCGACATGATATAGGATGGCTCATCCCATTCCTACTCTATCTTGCCATCACGCTACGAATCATCTTCTTCTATGTTCCCATTAGTATCATATCCAAGCCCATGCGCTGGGTCTGGGACCATACCGCAATCCCTCTCGTGCGCATGATTCCCGAAAAGCTGAGAACGCCCAGTGCTGCCGCGCTATGCATTGGTGTGATTATTATTGGCTCGTTCGTGTCTGAAGAATCAGAGGGTAACACGCGTGCCAACCGTGCAGTCAGTCTGTTTGGAATGCTTGTCTTCATCTTCGGGCTATGGCTCACATCTCGAAACCGCAAGAAGATCGTCTGGCACACTGTTATTGTCGGTATGCTGGCACAATTCATTATTGCTCTGTTTGTGCTCCGCACCACTGCAGGATACGACATCTTCAACTTCATCTCAGGCCTTGCCACTGATCTGCTTGGTTTTGCCGCCGACGGTGTCATCTTCCTGACCAGCAAGGACTTCTACTACTTTGATAACGGCTATGCACCTGGATCGTTCTTCATCGTCAGCGTTATCTCCGCCATTATCTTCTTCGTCGCCTTCGTCCAGCTCTTGTACTACTACAATATCCTGCAGTGGTTCATCGGTAAGTTTGCCGTCTTCTTCTTCTGGAGCATGCGCGTTTCCGGTGCCGAAGCCGTTGTCGCTGCCGCATCCCCCTTTATCGGCCAGGGTGAATCGGCCATGCTGATCCGTCCCTTCATCGCCCACCTTACCATGGCCGAGCTGCACCAAGTCATGTGCTCCGGCTTCGCTACCATCGCCGGAAGTGTCCTGATCGCCTATATCAGTATCGGTGTCAACCCACAGGCAATGGTCAGCGCCTGTGTCATGAGTATTCCGGCTTCTCTAGCAGTCTCGAAGTTACGTTGGCCCGAAGAGGAAGAAACCCTCACTGCAGGCCGCGTCGTCGTCCCCGATGATGATGAACACCGCTCTGCCAATGCCCTCCACGCATTCACCAGCGGCACCTGGCTCGGTCTGAAGATTGCTGCCATGATTTCATCAACCCTGCTGTGTATCATCGCTCTCATCGCTCTAGTCAACGGCCTCCTCACCTGGTGGGGCCGATACCTGAACATCAACGACCCCCCACTGACCCTCGAGCTGATCGTCGGATATATCTGCTACCCCATCGCCTTCCTGCTTGGTGTCTCCCGTGACGGTGATCTTCTCAAGGTTGGCAAGTTGATTGGTACCAAGCTTGTTACCGTAAGTTTCCCTTCTTCATAATAATTTTCCTCTTCTAACCAGTCACAGAACGAATTCGTCGCCTATGACGCCCTCCAACACAACGCCGAGTACAATGACCTCTCCGATCGCTCTCGCCTCATCGTTACATACGCGCTTTGTGGATTCGCTAATATCGGCTCCCTCGGTAACCAGATCGGTGTCCTGTCGCAGGTCGCGCCTGGTCGGTCTAATGATGTTTCGCGTGTTGCATTCAGCGCTATGGTTACTGGAGCCATTAGTACTTTCACGAGTGCGGCGGTTGCTGGCTTGTTGATTACCAATGAGAAGCAGTACTTCGGAACCTCTTAGGTACTACTAGACCTCTCAATAGCCCAACCCAACCAAACCCACCAAATGGGCTGGGTTTTTTGGCCCTATGTTCGGTCCCATAATGGGCCCTAAACAATACAAACATGCCAATTTATCGCAGCTGCATAATTAATGCATTTTTGTCTGGCTTTTTCTTAGGTATTCAAACTATCATCTGAGCGATATATGAAGCTATACAGAAACCTTCTTCTTATAAGCTCATATATCAACTCACAAGACTGATCTTTACTTTTTACAGGGGTATATATATACAATATATCTCCTCATACTACTACTGGAACTTAAGAATCGACTTCTGCACGACCCACTTTAACCGACTGGCTCGAGTTTTGGGTTGAAGGCTTGTGCAAAAGTCTACTTAAGAACCTTGGAATAAACCTAAAAGAGATGAAAAGAGAGGCCCCAAAGCAAGCAGGATGAAAAGAAGGCATGCGATGGGATGTTCACTTCAAGAGTGTAGAGACTATAATATTTCATTATAACTATACAAACCAACTGACTAAATATATACATCGGATCTTCAGCTCTCATCAAACCAGTCCACATTCACCACTTCATGACATTCCCATCCGAGGCCGGTTTTCATGTTTCGCCTCGTTAACACGTTTCAAAACACCCTTAACCGACTGCGGAATAGGCCGTTATTGGCAAACTCGGTTGGGCTTTGGCTTTGGCTTAGCATTAGCCCGTGGCAGAAGACTCCAGACTTTCTTTCCCTTTCCTCATCTCTTTTCCCCTTCAACTACCAACTCAAATTTCATACAATCTCGAATCAACACAATTAATTCAACACTTCAACATGGACGAGCTCCGAAATAACCTTGGCACTTACCCAGACTGGGGATTTGTCATATATCGCACTACCTACTCCGCTGAATCAGATACTCTATTTCCAGACGCTATTCGGTTTATTGAGGGCTGTATCAAGCAAGAATTCTTCCAACAAACCAAAAAATATCCACCAAATGAGCCTAACGCAATCTGGGCCAAACATAGGTCGACTATCGTGCAAGATCCTACGCAATTTAACGGGGCGTCTCTCGAGGCAATTCGCGCTCATTTTGAGACCTGGGTGGACGCTCAGGGCATGCATGACGGTTGGACTAAATGGCGAATGTGCATGATTATCGATGAAGAATCTCTGCAAACGCTGAAAGGTGCATTAATCGAGGCCGATGGAAGCCTAGATCATTCCGATAAAGAGCTTCGATGTGTAAAGGTCCTTGAAGCATTCCCGATTGTGGATCAGTATGACGAATTTCCGGGGTGGATGAAATGTTGGACATATACCCTCTTCGATCTCTGGTCGATGATGGGAGATGGTGATGAGATGAGGATGTCATTTTGCCGCATTGATGATTTTCCTTTTGAGGGAGTGTACTGCGGATGATAATGGAAAATATCGGTCGACAGGCAGTCAAATAAGAAAGACATACTTTTTGATTCTTTGAACATAACAATTTGCGTTTACAACAAAAATGATAAGGCCCTTGGACTATATCGTGGTAATCAGTCGGATTGGATCACCTATGATATAGAAAGTCGGCTGCATAAGCAGTCGGACACTGCCATTGATGCTATGCAGGACTCATTCATTTCTTTACTGCTGCGGAACTATCTTGCCGAAGTCTAGACAACTGAGTTTTCTGAGTCTTCTACACTTTATTCGGAGGATAATAGACACGCGTTGACTGTACCATACAATCTTAGAAGCAAAGTGCACAAGATCAAATTGATCTACAACGACACCAACAATGAATAGATCTACCGCCCTAGGAGCAATAACCAGAAGAAATGAAACGAGAAGGAACCGCCCGAGGATCCCAAGGGCAACAGTTTCTCACACCTGTACCTGAATGCGGAGTCTCAGAGGTACTAGTAACGTAGTAACAATAGGAACAAAGATAGAAACGGACATGACCAAGCAAACCAGAAACTCCCGGGCCCAAACCAGGCCCGCTATGCATTTGCAGCACGATCCCACCGCCCAGGAAATGGACGACAGGGCCAACCGACGCCGATGCAGAATGAAAAAAAGGTATCAAATCCATGAATCTACTCATCGTCCAGATCTTGGTGCCGCGCGAGGACGTGGCGCTTGAATTCCGCCTGGTCCGAGTCCCAAAGCTCGGCTGCTTGGGCGTTCAAGGGGCTCGCACTGGTTCAATGTTAGGGTTGATGGAAGTCATGGGGGATGTGAGGGGATGTGTACTTGTTAGGCTCGCCCAGCAAGCTTTGCAAGCTGAGCAAAACACTCGATACGTTGTAGACGGCACTCCACTTGTCCTTGAGGATATCGAGGCAGATGCGGCCGGAGAAGTCGACGTTGGGGTGGTAGATCGGAGTCTTGAAGAGGACTGTTGGGGGAGAGTAGGGGTAGTTGTTAGGGAATGCGAAGGAGAGTTTGAGATTAAGGCCCTCATAGGGCGTCTCGGTCGGACCGGTGATGGTTGCCGTCCACGAGAGGAGGTTTCCGTCTGCGTCCGGGAAGGCGGAGATGCCGGGCGAGGGAGAGAGCATGAGTTGCATAAGCTCAGCTTGTAGGCTGTATAGATAAAATGGATTGGGTTAGCTATATGTAATCGCAAATGGCAAACTGAATTGTCGAGCTGTTGGTAGGTGCTGAGGGGGACGAACCGTTTGGTCACGCTCTGGGTGTCGCTTTTTTGACCCGAGGGGTTCAGCTTGCTAGCTTGTTGCGCATCGGGCGCTGAATTCTGCGTGTCCTCCATGCTGTAGTCCATTGTGGATCGGAAGGTGAGGCGATCGAGTTTCTTAAGAAATAGTAATGTGAAATTTGTGGATTCCTGTTTGTGGAATGCTGGTAACAGTAGCACGAGGGTTTGGAATGACGCCGGATCCGTAACAATGAGCCACGGGGGAAAACTTGCGAATGTTTAGAAAGGAGGGAGGAATTATTTGTGTGAAATGAACAAGAAGTGAACAAAGAGGAAAATAGAGGATTTGTTTACTTGGGGCCCTTGACGCCCCGGGCAACACGAACCCCGCTTAAGTCAATTTTACTTGTTCAGTTGTCTTCAAAGAAAATGGATGTCCGTCTATAATTGAATATATTGTATATAATACATGTATTGAGGCCATATATAACTGAGCATAAATATAAATACAATTGAATCAAAATAAATGTAGATACACATAGTTAACTAATTAAATAACCGATCTGGCAATGTTAGTGCGATCGAAATCAACTGCGGGTCTGCAGTTTCAAGGTATTAATAGCATATGTATGTAGTATAATACTGGAGTGTAGTATATAGTTGCATATTTCGTATAGAGTAGTAGTTATCTCTACGACATCGAGTTGTAGCTATCGCCTCCATCACTCTCTAGTCTCTACTTTTGTATTGTGCCTTTTGTCAACAGACTACCCGATCAGGATAAAGTGGTCCGCGTCTTGTCCCGCGTTTCGCTACCCTTGCTTCGACGCGACACATCTCAGCCTATCTTGTTTCTCACTCATTATGCCTTTTTAATCTTAATTTACTTCCTGTCGCTTCGTGTATATCCCGGTTACATCTACTCACATTCACTGAACTTCCTGTGAGTTTTCTCAAAATGCAGCATTCGCAGCTGGCCCCGCTTCCGAACGATGTGCCGTTTCGCATCGTGTCCAAGACTATCGGTCAAGGTGCCTATGCATGGTAAGAACAAGATCCATAGTATGGAACAGCCATATCTAACGCGATTGGAACCATTTAGTATCAAAAAAGCCTGCCCGTTAGACTCAGAGAACCCCGTCTTCGCCGTCAAGTACATCCACAAAGATTACGCCGCACGACATGGGAAGATCAGCGCAAGACAATTACAACTGGAAGTTACGGTACACAGACACGTCTCGGGCCATGGGAATATTATCAGCTTCTATCAGACGGGCGAGGACGATGTGTGGCGTTGGATCGCAATGGAGTTGGCCGAAGGCGGAGATCTTTTCGACAAGATCGAAGCTGACGAGGGCGTGGGCGAGGATATCGCCCATGTCTATTTCTCGCAGCTTGTCAGTGCTGTCAGCTTTATGCACTCCAAGGGCGTCGGTCATCGTGATATCAAGCCCGAGAATATGCTTTTGACCGGCGACGGGATTCTCAAGATCGCCGACTTCGGGTTGGCGGCGCTGTTCGAGTACAAGGGAACGCGAAAACTCTCGACCACATTCTGTGGCAGTCCACCATATATTGCACCCGAGGTAATTAGCAGCAGTACCCGAGGTCAGAACAAAGGAGTTGGTTATCATCCGGACCTAGTCGACATTTGGTCTTGTGGTATCGTGCTTTTCGTCTTGTTGGCCGGGAACACGCCGTGGGATAGCCCGACGGACGATAGCTTCGAGTACCATGAATACGTTGCGACCAAGGCGAGGACTACAGATGAGCTCTGGCAGAAGTTACCACCCGCTACATTATCACTATTGCGTGGTATGTTGACTGTAGATCCCCAGAAGCGATTCTCGCTGGAGGATGTCCGAAGGCATCCTTGGTACACCCGCGCAAACAAATACCTCTCCACCGATGGCAAGTTGAGAGATCCGATCAATCTTGCCACCTCGATGTTTGAATCGCTTCATATCGATTTCAGCCAAGATCCTCTTTCCCAATCCGGGAAGGGCTCGAGTCGCAGCTTTGACCCCATGGACATGGACGGGGATGATGGTGGTGCAAATGCAGGGTTCTCCTCGACACAGCCAGAGATGTTGGGCGGTGGCATGTTGATGGACTGGGACAGTCCCCATAATGCCGATGTCTTTTCTTCAACCCAGCCCTTTGGGAAGAAGTTTGCCTCTCAGGATGCAGCGATAGCAGGTCACCTTGAGGATGAGCCTTCTATGTCGCAGTTCTCACAGCAGCCTTCGGTGCCTGTGAGCCGAACCCAAAACGCGCAAAAGTTCCAGGACATTATCCCCTCTCGCTCAATGACGCGTTTCTATTCTGCCTGGGAACTCAAACTCCTCGTGCCTCTCATATGTGAGGCCTTTCACCGACTTGGGGTTCCAGTTCCGAGTGTCCCTGCTATTGGTGCTGGAGATACTTCTGCCATGATTCGGGTGATTGCCAAGGATGGCAGGATGTGTCCGCTTCAAGGTAAGGTGCTTATTGAGTGTGTCTCAGAAGGGTTATTCGAAGTGGAATTCATCAAAATCAAAGGTGATCCACTTGAATGGCGACGTTTCTTTAAGAAGGTGGCCATCCTCTGTAAAGATGCCGTCTTTAGACCGGACGAGTAGCGGTGTATCTGCCCTCTCTCTGTGGACTACTATCTTCTGTTTTTTTTTACGCTTCTGCCTACATAATTTATTTTCAAATGTACGAGTCATGACTGATTGATGGTGGGGGTTTGGGCCGGGCTGGAGTTTGGCCGTGGGAAAATAACACTTCATATCATTCAAACCTTTCTATTTCCAAGATGCATATAGCTTCAGCAATATACTTGTCTATAGACGCCTATCCATATTTTCGTATATTATTGTTGTAGCCGGTGTAAAAAGATCACGGAGCGGGAATATGCCCAGGTATAGTACTACCATGTTGAAGTTCTAAATCCCCGTTTTAAATGTAATCTAAAATATTGGTGATACGGTGATTGCTCCGTTCTCTACACCGATGGATGCAATTGGCTTCTTAGGTTATAGCACAGCGACTGAGACAAAAGATCACGCCTTGGTCCATGTCGAGTAGTCCGAATGAGTTCACCAAGGAAGGATCTAGGGCTTTATCTGGAATAGCGTGCTGCGCCCAAATTGTAGTAATTTACAATTCTCTGTTTGCTGTCACAATCTTGGAACAATCCCTGTCCGGCATCAACATGGTCCTCGAGGTTAGCGCAAGTGCGATACTGATATCACGGCACTTACTAACAATTGTTTTATTATCTGTAGATAAAAAGGAACAATCTAAGATTTAGGACCTCGAAAAGGCGAAAAACCATCATGCCTAGCTCATTCACCTTCATCAGCCGCTTACAGAGGTATCGCTGGGAAAGAGTGGGGTTCCAAAGCCCTAGCTCTAGTTATACATCGGCAATCCCAACAGGGATCTCAAAATTGGTATTACGAATCCCCAAGAATAATGTGGATTTGGAAGATTCTGTGCGAATCCAGAATGAAGTCGCATTCTTAGCTTTAGCACGCGATACATTGTCTGCCATCGATGCTTTAGTGACCCCGCGAGTGGAAGATGGGCAATTCTCAACCCCTCTTCTCTTAGCTGGATCCTGGAAGGGGACTCACTATGTTTGGATGAGATCCTTGCGCTAGATCACGATACTCGACAGTCACTGCTATGTCAGACAGCACGGGTAGCTAAAGCTTTTCAGGATTATCGGCTCTCTAAAATCGGTAGTATGTATGGTGTTTGATGATCAAGGTGAAAATCGTGAACACCTGTGGCGGACCCATTACGAGCCTATCCAGAATTTGTGAGAGGAATGTGTACCTGACAATTCAAAATGAGCGACCGAAGTGCTCATCTCAATGGTTGACGCGGTATACCTGGTTTACGGGAACGATTTCCATTCCTAGAGGAAGAGGTCAAATAAGTGGAAACTTGCTCGAGCATGGGATAATGCTTTATCTGATGTAAGAGTTAAAAAGCCCTCGACGATTGACAAAACGGGATATGTAGCAGATATATGGTGGCTGTCTCAGTATCTGTTTGAGGTCTAAGGTCTATTGGTTTATAGAGATGCTTTTGGAGAAGAGAACACCGGAGAGGCTGGATACGTTGAAAGTTGAGAGTGCAAACAATCTAGCTTCTAAAGCTTCTAAGAGTAAAATAGGGCTCGTTTTTATGAATTTATGTCACTTGTTATGCCACTTTTTATCAGAATATAATCCCAATTATAACAAAGAGTATATAATATATAGCATGTGATATCGAGCGGATATTCACGAGTCCCTATAAGGCAATTCCAATATATTTTTAGTCCAGTTTCCGTGTTCCGGGGTGGCTGTGCCGTGGAAGATATCAGAATGTTCTCTCAATTAATATATTAATATCTCTCCAGACGAATTCTATAACGGTGGACCCTATATCGGAAAGCCCTCCCGAGCCTGTTCGCTCTGAGATTGTCTCAGTCGTGCCCCTCCAAACGTCACAACCCCATCACTCAATGAATGAAACACCATTTTTATATATACTTATATACACTTATACAACATATGTACCCTCAATCAATTTGAAATCTAGCCCCTTCAACCCATGCCAATTGAATCCACGTGACGATCTGGAGTGCAGATCGCGGGGAAAAGTCGACAAAAAAAAAGGGTCTAGAATTTTGTTCAAGAGGTCGACATCCCCGTTGACATCCCCTCCTCAGGCTGCTCTCAATGCGGCTGATCCCTCTCCATGGATAAGTTGCCGGTAGAGATTCTGTCGAAAATCATCGACCGTAAGCCCCGGACCTTCCCCGCACCCGTTTCGACTGAGAACTGATAGTGCGATAACCAGACCTCGCTCCGCGAGAAAAGGTCCAACTTCAATTTATATCAAAAAAGTTCTTTGCTCTCGCCCGTGATAATAATCAATGGAGATTACACTGCTATGAACAATCATGGGCTGCTCGGCAGGCTGCCCGCTCTGCTGCCAGACCCTCGGAGAGTGTGATTGGCGACGCGACTGTTGCATTGTCAATATTAGGGCAGGAGTCGCTACTTGATATCATCCAGCCCTCTGTTCCACTAGCGAGCGAAGACTCTGAGGATACCCGGGAAGTGTCTCGGAGTGAGAGGGCGAGGGCTGCAGCGGAATGGGACTCGTCAGCTGAGGGGGAGCATGTGGATTGGTATTCGGAATATATTGCTCGCCACGGACCCATATCTTTATCATGGGTCGAGCAGCCGATGGTCCGTAAGGGGGAAGGAAAACGAGGGCAGTCCTACGAGGTCAAAGGTATGGGACTGCTCAAAGACTGGAGTGCAGCCAGACAGAACAAGATCGTTGCCCCGCTTGAAGATGGCAGCGTCTGTATCTGGGATCTGAATCATTCCCACTCAGTTGGCTCTCAAGCAAGTAAAGGCAAGATTCTTGGAGTCAGCGAGCCTGGAATTCTCATGACCAACCTGTCTGGTCGTCGGGATCGTTCTCCCTCGAAGGCTGCATTGGAGTTTATAAATCTAGGCGAGGGAGTGAGCGTGGATTCTCTACGACAAAGAGCCTATCTGGCAATCGGGAATGTTCTAAATGAAGTGGACCTGGAGACATTAAAAGTGATTTCGCAGCAGCGCTATCCCTGGTCGATTTTTGCCCTCTCCCAGGAGACAGATTACTCAGTGCCCTTGACATTAGCCACCACACTCAGTCTACATATCTATGACTCCAGGCTGTCGGCTGTCGAAGAAGAAGAGGCAATCAGCTCGCGATGCGAGCGGGTAGTCAGCTCGAATGCCCCCAAACTAGGCATGTTCGCACACTCTGATTCACCATTGTTACAACTCCAATCCAATGGACAGCCACCTACTCGTATACGCAGTCCAGAACCCTCAGATAAAGGAGCAAATTACGCACCACTGTTTCAACCTGGCCCTCTTTCCATCCTGCACCCGCCAGCTCCCCATGTGAATACAATTCTCCTTGCAGGACGTTTCCCCAGCATCTTATGCTATGACCGCCGCTACTTCCCTCGGCTACAGACCACAGTCCATTCCGGCGGTCGACTATGTGGTCTCGCCTCAGCACCAGCTCCTCGATTCCCCGTCTTCTCAGACTCCACCTACCCCGAGTCACATTCCGTCGTGGCATGCGGAGATTATAACGGACGAGGCTCGCTGGAACTCTATAATCTCAAACCAGTCCCGGAAGAAGATCACAGCCCTTCCAACACGACATCTAACCTGTACCCAGAATACAATAACCGTCAAAGTGCCGCCAGTTCCAAATTACTTTCAGTGGGATCGCACGGGAATCGCATCGTCTTTTCCGACGCCGAGGGGAACATCAAGTGGACCGAACGAAATGGTCGTTCAGAAGTGCGACGGTGGAATATCAATACCTCCCAGCCTGAGATCCCATTCGGTCGTCGCAGCCAACAGCCAACCCCACAGACAGAAGAAGACCAGCAGCCACGTGGGCTCTGGCCTTCTCAATCGCCGGGCAATAACGAGGTAGCCCGCAAGGTTCTCCCCCACTGGTGGGAATCTCACTGGAGACGAGTTACTTATCTGGACTGGAGAGCGAATTGGTCGTGTCAAATTTTCCATTCCTGAATTGCTTGATGAGAAAGAAATTGATGAAGACGATGAAGTGTTTATGCATGCGGAAGTCGATGAAGCTACACGCGAAGAGATGCGGCATAGACGGCGTGACGATTGGGAGAAAGAGCAGGGATATGGGGATTATATGCGCCGTACGCTTGAGAGACAGGCGGATGAGGTCCGATGGATGGGCAATCAATGGCTTGGCTGATATAGTTTTCATACATCAATTGCATATGGATACCCAGTTCTAGTGGGGTCGGACTCTTCGGAGATTCGGAAACATGAGTTAATATCTATTTCCAAGCAGTAAACTATAGAACATACTGTCTATTTGGAAAGTAATGCGGAATTAACGAAATTCCTTGACCTCGGAGACCTTGGAGGGGGACTTGCCTTTTCTAACAGTCCGAGGCTTAGCAATCGGCAGGTCCGCAATTCGGCTCCCCCGCGCCGAGATCACAGGCATTTCTAATGTTCTTGTCAGCTAATGACTCAAATTGCTAATATCCTGCTTGTTTCTGGGTTCTAGTCCAATTCGAGTATTCCTGTATTCTTGCTCTTGATTAATTCTTCATCCTCTTATCAAACCATATCTCCTGCATCCCGCGCACTTTCAACTACTCATCCTCACGTTCCTCATTGAGGGGCAAAAAAGAAACCAGAATGCCTTCCCCCACCGAAATCGCACAGCAATTCGACTCAATTGAGGATACAATCGCAGCATTTAGTAAGTGATCTTTCCGTACAGGAAATCGACTTCACCAAAACGAGCATCCAGCTACTCACGGCGCCCTCCGACCAGACCAAACCACTAACGAAGAGCTACAGAGAATGGCGAATTCATCATTGTCCTCGATTCGCAAGACCGCGAAAACGAAGGTGACCTAATTATCGCCGCCGAGTCCATCACAGCCGCCCAGATGGCCTTCCTGGTGCGCTATACAAGGTAAGAGCACCACCCGACCAAGCCAGCGGCGGGACAGTCCACAAAGACCCCTCCCCGGGATGGCACACGCACACCCATACCCACGAAGACAATGCGCCAATCCAAACCCAAAATCCAATTGAAACATTGCTAACAAATTCGAAAACACAGCGGTTTAATATGCGCCCCGATCACCCCGGACCTCGCCACCCGCCTCGCGCTCCCACAAATGGTAACCGAGAACACCGACCCGAAGTGCACGGCCTACACAGTCACAATCGACTCAAGCGACGACTCCGTGACAACAGGTATATCCGCCGAGGACCGCGCACTGACATGTCGCACTCTCGCTTCACCCACAGCGCAGATCGACTCCTTCCGCCGGCCCGGCCATATCATCCCTTTGCAGGCGCGTCCTGGCGGCGTGCGCGAGCGAACGGGTCACACCGAGGCTGCGGTCGATTTCTGTAAGCTTGCCGGTAAAGCGCCGGCTGGTGTGATTGCTGAGCTTGTTGAGGATGGGGAGATTGTTGAGGGTGTTGCGGAGATTGGGGGGAATAATGGTATGATGCGTCGGGATGGATGTTTGCGATTTGGAAAGAAGTGGGGTATTAAGGTCTGCACTATTGAGGATTTGGTGCTTTATTTGGATCGTGTTGAGGGGACTGGTGCTGCGAATGGGAAGCATTGAGCGGTGGGCTTGTATTTGATCTATGGGTTGTTGTGTTCCGATCGCTTTTATTGGGTCGTGTGCTTTGGGGTACTTTGTACATCACTACGCCTTCTCTTGGATACCTTTTTTTGTTAGACGAATTGATGCAAATATGGATAGACTTGTGTCTTCCGTGGGTGCGAGTATGAGTTGTAGAGAGATGGTAGATTCACTGGCTACATGAATGCACAAGGGAACGTTCGCTACATATATAGCTAGGGTGAAATGGAATTGATTATTTGATTATTTGGGTATCTATCATTTTCTGCGTGTAGTGTACAAATGTCAATGCCGTCGAAGCAAATGTAAAAACAATGAACGAGTTTCCATGCCACGACAGTCGGGCCGCATGCATCTCCCCAAACGCCAAAGCAATGCAAAACAATCATTGTATCAAAGGAACTTCTGATGCGGAACCGAGGAAAGTGAGACCGGTGCGACATCCTTGGACAACTCACTTACCGTTTGAGATGCGAGTAGTCCCTGAGAATGCTCGTCATATGAGTGTTGGTGGTCTTTCCACTTCGACGTGGCTTCTTGGACTTCTTAGACGGCGCAATGACACGCGGACCAAGCACCTTGTTCTTGTTGGTGGGTGTGATACCGAACTTGTCCAATTCCTCCTTCACTACATTCACATCGGGAACCTTGATCTTGTCCCAAATCTGCTTGAACTCATCGTCGAAGTGTTCAATCAGGGACGGGTCGTTAGGCCACACCATCTTAGGATGGTCATCCTTCTTGTTTCGAGTCACAAGCAGTTTCCCCTCCTTCTCCATCTGATTGATCTCTTCTTCGACGGTGGGCCAGCCCTCCCTGAGTTCGCGAACACTCATACCCGCCGCAGTAGTCTGAGTTTGGAGATATTTCAGGAGTTGCTCCGAGTTTCGAATGTTGTGAGGTGGGCGGAACCTGAATGTGCCCTCACCGTTCGCGCCACTCGGGTCAAACTCAACCTTCTCGTGTATCTGAAGAATGCTCCGAAGAGCCTGCACGTAGGCCTGGTCATGAGCACGATGCTGGAGTGACAGGTATGAGATGATATCCGAGAACTTCAGCGCAATGTTCTTGTTCTTCATGTGCTCGATCGCAAACAGCACTTGCGTCATGATATCCTTGCCCGTGCCTGTGTTGGCCGGCTGAGAGTAGACGATATCCGGGTCATGACGCTTCTTTTTTATCTCGGTAGACGATGACGGGGTCGGTGCGGACGATGGGACTTGGGAACTGCTAGCAGAGACCGGTTGATTACTGACCACACGTCGCTGCGTGGGCATGCGGTTTGCCGACTCCACGACACTAGCGTTGAAGCTTTTCAGCTGATTTTGAAGATACGACATGGTTGCGACGAAGGATCGGAGATCACTGAGACTCAAGAGAAGAATAGAACTGAGCTGAGATGGCAACCACTTGAGTTGACCTTGATCGGGCTGGAAGATTCAAACAACTCTTGGTATGTGTATCGTGAGTATTTGCCTGAGAGAACGGAGTACAACAAACCCGAAAAGAGCTGCGTAGATAATGAGGACAGCCTAGTCAAGCAGTTAAGCTTCGAGCAGAGTGGCTATTAAAAGATTGAAGGCCAGACAAAGAATGTCACGTGCTGAAGCTCAGCAACCCAAAGCGCGGAAATGGATCTCAGACGCCCTTGAAGTCACCTCACCACCATTTCTTCCAATTACCATTCCATTCAATTCTTCGTCTTCTCGACTTAGAAGACACGCATTTTGTTTGTTCACATCGTCATGACCTGAGGTCCTTCGGCCAGCGCTGTGTGTACTTGTCTGTGAACAGTACACGGCGCGCCCGTCCTCGAGGACCCAGCTCTAGCTTGCGCCGCTCATACTTGCTTTTCTTGATTTATCCGCCACGACAGCTCTGTGCTGTTACTCGTTCGACAACATGGCTGAAACTGCCATCCAACTACCCTACCTATCGTCTCACTATGCGCTTCCAGAATCGACCCTCACGACCTTACGGCAGGCCCCAACTGTGGAGCTTGTCAATCAACTTTTAGAATCAATCAATAATAAGGCTCATGAATACGATGAGCTCAAGTCTGACAAGCTTCGCTTGGAGGTAGAGCTTGAGAATTCCGTGCGCAGCAATGAGTCGAAAGTCAAGGTTCTGAAAGTCAGTGTGGAGAAGGGACACGCAGAAGTCGCCGATTTGAGGAAAAAGCTGCATGAAGCTGGTATATATCTCTATCTTTTGTTCCTACTGACGAGCTCCCTTCTAACATCGAATAGAAACTGCCCGTTCCTCACTCGAGACGGAGATCTCTACACTGAAATCCTCGTCCACGTCTAACGAATCCGAAACCACGTCTTTGAAAGCGCGTATTTCATCTCTGGAGGCATCCAACAGAGACACATTGGGCTTGCTCGAATCGAAATCTGCGGCCTACGACAAATTGGCCGAGGAGCTCTCGCTTCAACACAAGAAGACCATCGAATTACGACGTGAACTCTCCACCGTGGAGCAGAGTCTCCAAAGTTCCAACGCGGCATCTGCCAGTGCCCGCTTCCGCGAACAGAGCCTTCAACAAGAACTGGATCTCACCAAAAAGAACAACGAATGGTTCGAGACCGAACTCAAGACGAAATCCGCTGAATACATCAAGTTCCGCAAAGAAAAAGGTGCTCGGATCTCTGAGCTCCAGCGAGAGAACGAAGAGGCAAATTCGACAATTGACTCTCTTCGCCGAAGTGAGAACTCGCTCAAGAGTCGTCTGGACGAAACAGAGCAGCGATACGAAACCTCTCTGGCTAGCATTCATCAATTGAAGGAGGAAGCCATCCAAGCAACCGAATCCTTCCGCATTGAACTTGACAGCTCTAATCGATTGGCCGAGCTACAAGGATCTGCTGCCCAGACGGCCAAGCAGCGGGTGCAAGAATGCCAACTTGCTCTCGAAAAGACAAAGGATGATGCAGCACAGGAAATTTCGCGCCTCCGTGTGGAGCTTGAGACGGAGTCCAACGACAAGGGAGCTGCGGAGCGTCGAATTGGCGAGCTCGAGGCACTTGTTGGCCAGCTTGAGTCTGAACCTGCTAGAGGAAGATCAGCAAGCCCCGCTGTCTCTCTCAATGGAGGTGCACCAAGTACACCTCTGCGATCAAGCATCATGCGTGCTGGCACTCCTACTGGCTCGTTCTCACCCCGCGCATCTCGTGGTAAGGGTGGAATGAATGTCACCCAGATGTACTCCGAGTACGACAGAATGCGCACCGCTCTTGCAGCTGAGCAGAGAACCTGCCAGGAACTACGCAATACCGTTGATGAGATGGTTCTTGAACTTGATTCAACCAGACCTGAAATTGAGGAGGGACGAGCAGAACAAACCCGTCTCGACCACGCCGTAGTAGAGATGTCTACTCTCCTTGAAACGGCCGGGAAGGAGCGGGATAACGCCCTCAAGGAAGCCAGGAAATGGCAAGGCCAAGTCGAGGGCTTGGCTCGTGAGGGCGACATCCTACGTCAGCAACTTCGCGATCTGAGCGCTGAAGTCAAGGTTCTCGTCCTGGAGGTTGCTTTCGCAAAACATGGCGAAGAATACGACCGCGAGGAGCTCGAGAAAATCGCTCGAGGCGAAGTCGAAGAGTCGGCGAAGGATCTCAATGAAACCGGCCGCTTTATCAGCAAACACCTCACAACTTTCAAGGATCTTCACGAACTCCAGGAGCAGAACCACACTCTCCGACGTATGCTGAGAGAACTTGGTGACAAGCAGGAGGGTGAAGAGGCACAAGCCAAAGAAGCCACGCGACGGGCAGAATTTGACGAGCTGAAGGAGTTGCGGATCCGCGCGCAAACAAACCGCGATGAGATTACGAACCTCAGCACACAGATGCAGAGTTACGTCAAGGAGCGCGACACATTCCGCAGTATGCTCATGCACCGAAAGCCAACCGTTGACGAACAGTCTGTCTTCTCGCAGTCCATGCCTCTTGGTGCTGCTCCTCAGGGAGGTATGGATACCTCAGGACCTGACTACGCTGAGTTGCTCCGGAAGGTCCAAGCCCATTTCGATACTTTCCGTGAAGAAACCACGACAGACCACAAAGCACTGCGCCAGCAGGTCAATGAGCTATCGCGTAAGAACAGTGAGCTTATGTCTGACATCAGTCGGTCAAGCAGCCAGCTTGCTGCTGCTTCTCAACGTGCGGAGCTTCTGCAGAGTAACTTCAATATGCTCAAGAATGAGAATACCGAGATCCAAAAGCGTTATTCTGCTCTCTTCGAGAATGCTAATCGACAAGATCTCCGCACCCAGCAAGCTGCTGAAGACCTCGTGGAGGCTAAGGGTCTTGTTGAGAGCCTTCAGAGAGAAAATGCCAACCTGAAGGCCGAGAAGGATCTTTGGAAGAATATCGAGAAGAGGCTCATTGATGATACCGAGAATTTGCGGAACGAGCGCAGTCGTCTGGACTCATTGAACGCAAACCTTCAGACCATTCTCAACGAGCGTGAACACGCCGACTCTGAGAGCCGACGCCGACTCCAGGCCAGCGTCGAGTCGCTCGAAACCGAACTGCAATCAACAAAGCGTAAGCTCAATGATGAAGTGGAGGAATCCAAGAAGGCTAGCATGCGCCGAGAGTATGAGCAGGAGACATCACAAAAACGAATTGACGATTTGGTCACTAGCTTGAGCGCTGTCCGCGAAGAGCTAGTTGCCGCCAAGACCACTCGGGATCACCTCCAGTCCCGTGTGGATGAGCTCGCGGTTGAGCTGAAGAGTGCCGAAGAACGTCTGCAAGTCTTGAACTCGAGACCAAGCGTATCTGCTGGTACCACCGAGGGACCTACCGAGGGTCAGGAGTCTGGCGAAGGAAACGGCCTCTCACGGGAGCAGGAACTTTCAATTGAAGTTTCCGAATTGAAGCGCGACCTGGAGTTGGCCAAGGGTGAACTCGAACACGCCAAGCAATTGGCTGAGGATTACCAGGCCATCAGCCAAGCTAGTGAAGAACGCCTCGAGTCAGCCACGGAGACACAGGATCAATACCGCGAAGAGACCGATCGTCTTGTTGAGGAGAAGAACGCTAAGATTCAAGACCTCGACACTCGCATTGAAGAGATTTCAGCTGAACTGTCCGCCTCCAATGCTGAAATGACCAAGCTCCGTGAAGAGCAAGCGGAGGCGACACGTCGCCTGGAAGAGCAGAAGGCCAACTTCGAGTCGGAGATTACTCGCCTCAAGGCCGACAATGAACGACATGTCACGGCTGGACAGTACCATCAGGAGGACCTGAATGCGCAGGCCGAAATCGCCAAGCATGCTCAACAGAACTACGAAACTGAGCTTGTTAAGCACGCCGAGGCAGCGAAGAATCTACAGGTTGTTCGTGCAGAGAGTAACAAGCTCAGGCTCGACGTCGCTGAGCTGCGAACCCAATCCGAAGGCTACAAGACGGATCTGTCTCAGAAAGAGCAAAGCTGGGCAGAACAACGAGCCACGTACGAGGGTGAGCTCTCTGAACTGCAGAAGCGTCGGGAGGAGGTTCTCCACCAGAATTCCGTGCTTCACACTCAGCTGGAGAATATCACCAGCCAGATTTCGTCCCTGCAGAAGGACCGAATGAATGTTTCGGATGATGAGCAGGAGGGCGAACAGGGGGCCCCCAATCTCGAGGGCCTCCAGGAGGTCATCAAGTTCCTGCGCCGTGAGAAGGAAATTGTGGAGGTCCAGTACCACCTTTCCACCCAGGAAAGCAAGCGACTCAACCAACAACTCGACTACACGCAGTCCCAGCTTGATGAGACCCGCCTCAAGCTTGAGCAGCAGCGCCGTGCTGCGGCTGATAGTGACCACAACGCATTGAATCACAGCAAGCTGCTGGAGACTATCAACGAGCTCAACGTTTTCCGTGAAAGCAACGCCACTCTCAGAAACCAACTGAAACAGACCGAAGCCGCGCGTGATCAAAAGGTCACCCGTGAGAATGAGCTGGTCCAGGAGATTGAACCCCTCAAGACCAAGATCCACGAGTTGGAGAGCCAGATTGAAGCCAAGGATGGAGAAATGCAGCTTCTACAGGCCGATCGTGATCGATACCAACAGCGTATTCAGAACATCCTTCAAAAGTACGACCGTGTCGATCCTACTGAAATGCAAGAGTTGAAGGAGAAGCTCACGAGCCTCGAAAACGAAAAGACCGAGGCTGTGTCCGCGCGGGAAGCTCTCCAAACCCAGATCGAGTCACTTCAGGCTCAAGTCGCCGAGTTCCCAGGGCAGCTCAAGCAGAATTCCGACGATCGCGCCAATGAATTGCGATCCAAGCTCACAGAGCAATTCAAGGCACGCTCTAAGGACCTTAGCGCACGTGTTAAGGCCAAGCAAGATGAGCTCAATGTGGCCTTGCAGGAGAAAGAGGTCATCCAAACGGAACTTCAGACTACAAAGAACGAATTGGAGGCATTGAAGAGCAAGGTGGCAGAGGCGCCAGCCAATGTGTCACCTGCGCCTGCACCTGCCCCTGCCCCTGCTCCTGCTCCTGCACCTACTCCTAATACAGAAGAAGAACCCCCCCGTCAACGCTACCCCGGCTTCACAATTCCCAACTGCGACCATCGAAATCCCTGGTCCTGGTGACGCTCAAAAGATACAAGCACTTGAACAGAAGATCCAGCGACTCGAGGCAGCTCTTGCCGAGAAGGATGGACTTCTGGCGACCCAGACCAGCGAACAAGATACGAAGATCAAAGAACGCGCGGACCGCCTCAAGGATATGTACAACTCTAAGTTGAACGAGGTCAAGGCTGCTCACCGTCAAGAAATTGAGAAACTGTCCGCTGGTGAACAACCCACACCTGGAACACCAGGTGCGGGCCCGGATGCAACCCCTGCAACGCCGTCCAAACCGTTTGAGCTTGCCGGATTTACTATTCCCGAGTTGACAGACGCTCAAGCAAGAGAGCTGGTCGCGAAGCATGAGACTATTCGCACCATCGTCCGCAACAACATACGTGGTGGAGTAGCACGCGAGCAACAAAAACTCCAACAAGAAGCCCAAGCCTCTGGAGCCAATGAAGCCGCACTGGCTGGACTGCAACAGAAGTCGACTGAGGAAAGGGAGGCCTTGATCAAGGCCCATGAGAATGAAATGAAGGAGAAGGTCAGCTCAGCTGTCGAACTTGTCGAAAAGAAAACAGCTGCCCGTCTCAGCATGCTTGACACCAGATTCCGAACTGCGAATGCCAAGATTGATGTGGTATCAAAGGCTGCCACGGAAACTCCTCAAAAGCCCGTTGTGGAAGTATGGGAAATTGCAAAGACCGCTCGCCCTGCACCGGTCCCGGTTCCAGCTGCTAAGCCGCCCGTCCCAGCAGCAACCCCAGTCCAACCTGTTGCTCCCACCCCAACTCTAGCTGCGCCGCAAGTCCCAGTTACAGCTCCCTCGGCCCCAGTTCCTGCTCCGGCTCCGGCCCCTGCGGTGGCCTCTGTTCCTGCGGCAGCAGCCCCGAATGTTCCAACAGGGCAAGTCGCGCCTCCCACTGCGCCTGCCGAACCTTCTACCCCTCAGCAAGGTGAGGCACAGCCCACAGCGCCAGCCAACCCGTTCGGCCAAACTCAGCAGACCGATCAAACCCAGCAGGCCTCCTCTCTCCCCAGCAAACCTCCCGCTGGAAACCCACCTGGCCTGATGCGAGCTCTTCAATCAGGGCTTCCTATTGCACGAGGCGGACGTGGTGGACGCGGCGGTGGCCAGCAATTCGGCCATCAGCAACATGACCAACAGCAGCAGCAAGGTCATGGTCAGGGCCAAAACCAGCGCGGCCCAGGCCTTCAGCGAGGTCGCGGCGGTCGTGGTGGACAAGGTCGCGGTGGTAACCAAAATCAAAATAACGTTGCCCAGGCTCAGAGCCCCACTGCCAACCGTGGGAATCTGAATGCTTCGGCCCGTCAGTTCATTCCGGGGGGCAACAAGCGCTCTCGTGATGATGGCCCCGACACTGCCACTGAGGGTGGAAGTGGTGGAAAGCGACAGAGAGGCGGTGGTGGCCCGCAGCCTCGTGGCGGAGGCTCTTCTTAAGCAGCAATCGTCGTTTCATGCTTTTCTATTCCATTAATGTATTCTCGATCTTATTGCCAAATGCGGCGTGGACCTGTTCATGAATGGGTTCCTACGTCTACTTATGCCATATGGCGTATTGCTTTTCATGTTTTACCCTGCTACGCAGAAAGCAGTTTTGATTTCTTTTGTTTTTGTATGTATCTATTGAATGTGTGGCGTTCTTATGGGTCGCTATTCCTTACTCTCAACTGATAAAGGTTCAATTACAAGTATTTGGTGTACCACCAATATCACCACCGAAGATAGAGTAACCATTGTAAACGAAAACTGGGGTATAAGCTGCTAGAAGACAAGAATGTATCCAAGAAATGGTTCGACACAGAAGAACGCAAGTTCAAAATAACAAGAATATCGACACGAAAGCATCTTGAAATCACTTCTTCCTCCCTCCAGGAGCAGGAATAAGCATTCTCCCAAGTACCTCCCTCTCCTTTTGCAAAACCATCAACCTCGCATCCTCAATAACCTTCCCCGCTGGCGCAGGACCAGGAAGAGGCGTCTGCGCAACCTGCGCCGCACTCACAACAGCCGGACTCATCTCCTTCACACCACGAGCTCTCTTCCTCCGCATACCCGGGCCCTGTCCATAGACAACAACCCACTCCGCAACAGATCCGCCAACGGCAATTTCACACCCAGAACACACCTTCGAGTGCGCACCGATATCCGCGTCCCGACGAATCATCGCCAGAGCCTCGATTGTAGCAGAAGAATGAATATGGGCACCGGGTTCAACCGTCGCCAACGGCCCAACAGTAACGAAGTAAGATATCCGCGTAGATGTCTCTTTCCTAGGCTCGGGCGTCGACGCCCCAGATTCCGTGGGTGTTGTGCTTGCTGGTCTGGACGGTGATGGGGACGGTGACGGTGAACGAGATGAGCTTGGCGGAGCGCCGATTACTGCTTTCTCGCTGATTATACAGCCGTCGTCGACGACGATTGGGCCTTCGTATGTGTAGAATTTCGCGCGCGGGTGGATGACTGTTCCTGCGCCGATGGTGACGGGGTGTCGGCCTTGGAAGACGACGGTGTCTGCGATTGTGGCTGTTGGGTCGGTTTTTAGGGGGGCTTTTGGTGGGCCGGAGCTGTGGGAGGAGGAGGAGGAGGAACGGTGGGTATTCGTTGGAGGTTTGAGGGTCGCCATTTTGGTGATTTGTGTTGTAGGAGGTGTGTTTTAGGGAGATCTATGATCGCAGGGTGTCACTGTTTTGGAGTTAACTCGCGCCGCTTTTTGGGGTACGTCTCTTAGTCAGCTCCATCAAATGCCCACTTGGGCATGGATCCATCTATGGATAGATAGGTCTCAAGGTATAAGATGCAGTTTCAAATATTGGCATACCCCATAGGTATAGAAAGATACAGCATAGGAAAATGCATTCGTGATATACTCCAAGTCGGGGGTATCTAAAATCTAAAGCCAAGTCTAAAGCGCCCCATCCCCCAACGTAGGAAACATGATAAGACAGCCAAGGACCCTCATGATTCCTCTGCAGTCTCTGGCTTGATACCGTTACGCTTTCTCCAAGCTCTAACGCCCCGATCGACCTCATCTCTCGTCATCCCATCGCGCACCAAGCAAAATGTGACACCCAACTCCGTCTCCACGTTTCGGTTCCGCGCCTCATCATCGAAGAACAGCATATCCTCATAGGCAACAGTGCTTGTCTGCTGAATCTTTGAGAAATGCGATGTCTTATTTCCCGGGTAGATCTGGATAAAATCAAAGTAATCGAGGGCGCGGATGGTCTTAGCGTTCGCGGCGGGGTTATCGGAGAAAGTGGGGATGATATGTAGGGATTTGAGCATGTCGCGCGCTAGATCAGGGGTCTGGGTTCGAGAGGCAAGGGCCAGTGGAATCGAGCGATGTTTGCAGGCGTAGACTATCGACGAAACTGCCGGGTAGAAGGCGAAGGATTCTCCCCATCTATTTCAGATACGGAATGCGGGGTTAGAAATCGGACTGGTTTCGAAAGGATCAGATGGCAATCAGGGGGATTCTTACCGGTCAACGGCACGGGAGCTATTGTCCCGTGGCTTGACAGGGGCGCTGACATGTGTGTCGACCCAGAACGGCCACAAGGTATAGTCCAGGTCGAAAGCGATCAATTTTGGGAGTGCGAGACCGTCGGTGAAGGTTTCGGGGGCCACAGAGGAATCCTCCAAAGGCTGGGTGTTTTGGCGCTTAGCTCGGACCATGTTTGGTACAAAGAACACACGAAGAATCAAAAGGAACTTTGGAGGAATTCGAGAAGGAAATGGACCATGGAAGAAGCGACGGAGGATGAACCAGGGCCGGACTGGCACGTGAAATATGACACGAACGACGATTGCGTCCAATTGGGATATATTCCTTATCGATAAAGTGGGACCGGGCGAAGTATACAACCAGGATGCGACCTACTGGCGAGTTAGCAGACAATATAATCTCAGCAAACCATCTAGACAATAAACGAGCTCACAATGATTAGGGGTGACACACTCTCATGCGCATAAACTGGGTGTCTCGCATCAGGCGACAGACAGGTCCATCTAGAGAACCAGTGGTACATAGACCAACCATCGCGGGGATTGTATCCTCTAAGTGGCCCCTGTATTTTTGGACAAAAAAAGAAAAATTACAGGGGCCAGTTAGTAGCAAACCAGGTGAGGACAGCCTATAGGTAGAGGGATGTGACAGCACAATATCTCTGTTGACATAGCGGAACTCCATGACAACTACGTAACCCAAGGGGCATCACATAATAGCTTTCTTCTCCAAACACCCGGGCCAGCCGAATCTTTAATGAAAAAAAATAAGTCTTATTAACCTAGAGTAGTAAGTACAACAGGGAATGTGAAAGCACAAAGGCCAAGCCAGTAATTCCAGAATAGGACAGCGCGAAAGCTGCGGAAGCGGAGATAAAAGGCACGTGCACTCCGCTCGTATTCGGATCAACAGGTCGCGTAGAAGAGACAGAATATAGAGCGGAGAAAAGGGCACGTGCACTCCGCTCGTATTCGGATCAACAGGTCCAAATGCGAATACGAGCGGAGTGAATATAGATAGTATGGGATCCATAAACTTTCTTCTCCAAACACCCGGACAAGCCGAATAATTGATGAAAAAAGGGGTCGCGTCAGCCGGGGTCAGTGTAAGCCCAGCGACACAGTGCAACGAGGCGTATGCAAGCACAGAGGCCAAGTCGCGTGTTCAAAAATAAAAAGGGGGAAAAAAGAAGCCCTGCGTGGGGAAGGGAGAAGCACCTTCATCTGGTCAGAGCTAACAACGACCATGGGAAGAAGAAGAAAAGAAGAAGAAGAGCTTCCGGGGGGGAGGCCCCGTCTTATACCCCCAAGGCGGCAGCGGACCTGGCGGAGTATCCCATTTTGCCGGTGGTACTGCCTGTAATGGGCACGTGCTCCGGGCATGTGCTCCGGGCACGTGTGTAAAGTCTCAACGGTCACGCGGTTGATTCGGGCACGTGTGTAAAGTCTCAACGGTCACGCGGTTGATTCGGGCACGTGTGCCGGTGATGGGCACGTGTGCCGGTGATGGGCACGTGTCAGTGATAGGCAAGTGCTCCGGGCACGGTTGTGTGAAGTCTACGGTCAGGTGGTTGATTCTCCAACAAGCTATTGAGACTCCCAGTTAATTTGTAGTGCCTATCGATCAATATTCAATCGCGATTGTTCAGCTAGCCTTGGTAACCTAGTATTTAGACTTGACGAAAACCTGGATCATCCATGGCAGCAATATAGATAGTACACCACCGATGTAGTCGGCCTACGGCGTTGACCTACGGGGTTGGCTCTACTTATATGTTGTAGTGTGTTTCATTGTAAGAAAACATTCCATTCAGGCTGCTTGAAGCCAATGGAATTGACAATGGTGTTCTTCTTCTTTCGCTCTTTTGCAACGAAACAAAGGAAAGATGTTTTCTACAGGCGTAGCAAAGAAGCTCATAGCTGTGGTGTCCTGTTCAAGATATAGATAGATTAGGTAACCGTAGGGTTTCCTCCTAATACCTGCAGTGTCATCTTTGTATAGATATAATTCATTCCGTACTTACTATTTATTACAAAAGAAACCATCCTCATACACCCAAACGTCGCGGCAAATGTAGCCTAGCGTTCGTCAGTAACTTTTGTAATGGATAGTCATTCAAAAGATACTTACTTTGGAAATTCTGTGTTCACTAGGGTGCACCAACAATAAGTAGTGTGGTACTGTTAGGCTTCGTCGGGTTATGTAGGAGCTTCCATTTGCAAGGAAAAGGGCTGCTTAAATGGTATCTAAGCAGCCTTTCTGGTTGTCTGTTTAGATCAATATGACATCCCCTTAGTAGCCTACACAAACCTTACATGTCTTTGTCGAACCTCAGCTAGTAAAATATAAATTGATTGAAGAGTTGAGAAATCAGGGTGATACCCCACGGTATTTATGATTATTATTTTGCCATGAAGATCGCTAAATGACTTTACAGGAACAAGGGGACAAAGACCTGAAAGCCACAAAGGTCTACAACGGGGACGAAGAGAGGTTTGTCAGGCTGCATACTACCAATGCATCAATTGACATATGGAAGGTAATGCATATCTAGGCCAGCATGCTGCGAGCACTGGCGCTGTAGCCAACGATGGTAGGAAATGGAAGTTTCCGCTTTTTTGACTTTTATCAAGCTTTAGTTACATTTTTATAAGAGGAACTTATTTTTGTTAAGGTTTTATGTAGTAGATAGAGGCACTATAAGTATTACTATAGAGAAAGCGATCAATCCCCTCTAGATAATATATATATATCTCTCTTTATGCAGATACTCAGTAATTCTCCTGGGTGCGAATTCGTGGTCCGCAGGTCAAATTGGGACTTTTTAGTGTAATTTTACATAGAATCTAGCATTATAATACTAAATGTCACGATCTACAATCTCACATGCTCTGGCACATGTTAAGGATCGTTAGACTGTTGATCTTGTTTGCTTTATAAAGATCATTTTGCTATATGAACCCCCAGGATCTCTCATCTCTCTCTCTATTCTTCTCTATCTTTGCTTTTTTGGTTGGAATGCACTCTTCCGTAATTGATCGACTTAGCATTGATACTAAAATCTGTATAATATTCACTTAATTCCCACTTCTTACTATAATAATATAATAATACTTTATATATAGATTGGTCATACGTAAAATACAGCCATTAATCAGCTCCTTTACGCTTGCTAAGACTGTATTTATGCACAGAAATGGGCTGGGAGCTGGGGACTTGGGCCCATTTATGGGCTATCTTGAGGTCTAATCCTGGGGGTGTACCTGAGCGCGGTGGGCCATGAACATATGTTGTCTTTTGCTGGCATTGGGATGAGGTTTGAGAGGGAGTTTGGGACGAGCTCTGAGAGCTTTAGCTTCGCGAAGCTGGCCGAAGAAAACATTTTGAAGGCCCATCGAATAGAGAGGCACTTGTGGTGTATGTTGTAGGAGAGGTACTAGCCGCGTGGCGACCGGATTGTTGTGGGACAAAATGATCTTTGCAGAAAGTCCTCGATCATGGTATACTAAGCACATTAGTATGAAGGTAGGTGACACCATTTGTAGGTGTTCGTGGGTAGGGTGGCCTGGCAGGCTGATGTCGATGGTGACCATAGTGACAGCTTCGAAGAGAGACATAGTTAAAGGTTGAAGAGTCAGGTTGCATAGAGCTTCTGGGGCTTATAACCTGTCAGAAGGGAGTACGTCGAAATGCATGGTGCAACATGTAGTTACTAGTGAGTAGAGGGTTGTAGGGTTCCATAATAGCACTCGCACAGTTTCTTCTCCAAACCCCCGGGCAAGCCGAATATTTGATGAAAAAATGAGTCGCGTCAACCGGGGGCAGTGTAAGCCCAGTGACACAGTGCAACGAGGCGTATGCAGGCACAGAGGCCAAGTCACGAGTGTCAAAAGATTAGATTAATCGGAGCCCTACAAGGTAGGGCTATCAGCGATTAAACTGATAAGAACAGTTACTACACTTGATCTAAGCCAGAAGGCAAAGAGAAGCTGAGGAAGAAAAAAGAAGAGGCGGAGGGGGGGTTGAGCCTCGTTATATACCTTAAAGGCGGTGGGTCCCATCGGCATTACAAGGCGGTACCCCGGGTACGGCTCGGCCCGTGCCGGGACCCCCCGATTTCGGCCCTGGAGCCCTCTGGAACCTTCGAGCTGTCACAATCTACATCTAACGTATTTCACTACCGAGTGGTCCACCCCAAAACACCATAGTAATGCGATAAATTACAGCATGATTCCAACCACAGTTGTTTATATAGAGCTTTCTTTATAGATTAATACTTTTTAGGTAGTATCTAGCTTTTCTAAGGAGTTAAAAAACACCTATGACTTTGTGATTGGGCTATATATATAATTCCAACTTCAAGCACTATAATTTTTGATACCGTGATAATGCAGCTTTTCAATTTTCTTAAAATTAATATATAATGTTTGAAATTCTTATCAATAGCTATTAGCTATCGAGTGAGAATTAAATCGAATAATAACGTAGTTATTGCTATATAAGGTTGCAAAATATCGCATTTACTATGGTGTTTTGGGGTGGACCACTCGGTGGTGTCGGTACATGCGATGACACATGCATTGTCACATGTATTGTCACATGTCTATTATCGTCAGTTCCTTTGTTTGCTTTTTTTCCTTTGTTTCTTTGTTCTCCAAATTGCTACTAAGCCTAATCGGGAAGGAGAGGTCCCCCACTTCTCATCTTCTCTCTTATTATTTTAGATTCTTTTCCTTTATCACATGATCTATAATCACATGCCACTCCTTTGCTACTATGCCTAATCGGGTAATAGTCTTTCCTTTGTTTGCTTGCTTTCAATGTTTGCTTCGCTTAGAAAGAGGTCGGGGTTTGCATTGTTTGATTGTTTGCATAGATCTGGCATATATCCAGGGCCCTCCAGACAGATCTTGCTTCTCTTCTTCTCTTATTTCCCCAGCTTTAGTGTTTTGAATCTGAGTACTCTCTTCCTTTGTATATGACGTGACTTGCCTTGCCTGTAGACCTGGCTCTTCACACACATGACACCATACCCTGCTGTACAGATTAATTTCTGTTGTAGCTTCACTACATGGCACCCAACGCCTACCCGTGGACTATAGTACATAGTGCAGTAGACAGCAAAGTCTACATGTTCCACCTATAGACGATCTACTAATATGACACAAGAAAGAATTGATTAGCTGCGATATTTCACTTCTTGCATTTGATGCAGCATGTATGGAGTATAGCAACGAAATTGCAGACTGATTTAGAATAGTGGTATGGGATTATGAGAATAGGAGACAAAATAACTTATTCAATAACCATATGGGTCCTTGTCTGATTCTACCATTCATAACTCATGCATCTCCGCTGGCCTTAAGCCAGTCAATTCTGATACAGTCACTGCTTGTAGATATTAGGGGGCTTCAAGCTTTGATGAAACATGGCACCAGGAGGTGGTCAATACATGCTATGCTGTCTTAACACGTATATCGACCGTCTACCCAGAAAGACATGACTACTGCTGGGAGTAAAGGTGCGCATCTCAGAGAGTGTCAATGACAGCGTGTTAGCCTTGCAAGGGCTCTCTATTCCCGGAAACAGCTTCTTCTGCTGGGTGATGTTACTAGTGGTCCTGATGCTGTCACGGACAACCAGGTTATTCAAAAGGTGTTGGGACGGCAGGGCATCTGCCGGAAGTATGGCTTAGCTGTAGTCCTTGCCACACAAGAGTGACCCTTTCTCATACGACATCATCAGCGCGACTTTGATAAGATTAGGAATAGAAAAAGATCTAAAAAAGAAAGAATAGTAGTCTGATCTCGAATACAACATCCATAATGTCAAGTCTAGGATCTAATCTAACTGGCACTTTGAGTACCATTCTGGACTTGTTTGCTACATAAACCGCTAAACAAGCTCTCGCGATTTTGAAGAAGCCCAGCGGGCCTTCCAGATTCGACGATTCTGCCGTTATCCATGACTAACACGATTCATCGTCGACAATGGTGTTCAGTCGGTGGGCCACTGCGATGACTGTGCTGTCTCGGAATTGCCAGATCAATTTTATCATCGTTGTTTCTGTTTGCACAGCTACCGTCGAAGTAGCCTCATCGAGGGGCAGGATGCAAGACTGCTTCGGCTTCAACAAGATTCGCGCAGAGGTAATCAGTTGCTGCTGACTGGCAGAAAGTGTTTCTTTCTGAATCGCACTGTCTAAGCCTGCTTTTTTTTTGGATAAGTTAGCGTATGATATAGAGATATAGAGTTAAGGAATGTGCCACTTCAACCTACCGGTACCTTCGTGCAAGGTCGAGGAACTGGATTCTTCCTTCCGATGACCAAGCATCTGTGAGAATGTAGCATTTCCGTGGAAGATGCTCAGATGGCGTCGAGTCAATGCCCCAATCGAGGTTTTAAGCGAAGTCCAGGCTTCGATGACGTATAAGGATGACTATTGGGGCTAGCAAAGCACACAGAGTACAGTATCAAGATGACACGAGACGAAACCGGAAGTTGAAAAGCAACACAATACCATTATTTCGGACGAGAAACATAACCAAGACACAGAATAACTAAAAGATTAAGAATAGATGGAATTTGAGATACTTGGGGCGGATGTCTACATAGTCAACAGTGGTCCAATGTGCCTCGTGTTTTGGAGGGATACTTACGGAGAATATCAAAGCAACGGACTTCTTTCACATTATTTTATGCTGAGAATTCTAAATGTCAATATAGCATGGCCCCCAATATTCTATATAGAAGTAAGAAATCGCAACTTCTACCAGTTCGTAGTAATCCCTAGAGATGAACGGGGAAAAGACTTCGAAAACCCCACCACTTGACCAGCAATTCTCAACCCTTTAAATGAATTTAATAATATCCTTGAACTCATCAAGCAGATCAATTCCATTGTTGTCCCATGTTGTATTCAAGTCCATCTGACCGCCGATCACAGGAACGGCAGGAACGGCAGGAATGGGGGGAACAAGGGGAACGGGAGAGGTGGGAGAGGCAGGAGAAATAGGAGACACAGGCTGCTCAGGGCTCAGTGGAGGTTCATCGTCCAAAGAGTTTGAAGCGTGAACCTGTAAAGCAGAAACAAAGGGTCTTTGCTTCACCTGTTTCTTGTGTTCTGTTCGGGTTACGTCTTGACTGGCCTTCCGTTTCAGGGTGGAGGGTTGGTCTGCTTTTGTTGTGAGTGGCAGTGTACCCTGCTTGGCAGAAGGGTCTTTGGTTATTGTCATCTCTGAGTCCGGTGGTGTGTCATCCGGGATCTCAATTATCTCGTGTTCAGGTTTCGGGTTGGATAGCTTCATTTGGTCTAGCTGGAGGAAATCGGACCGTGAAGCAGAGTGCGAGGGCTCAGTGTCTGTATGTTTTGATTCAATGGCCGGAACATCTGTGATTTTATTCTCCGCCTGATCATCCGCCACTGGAGAAACCCATGTTGCAAACCCTGATCCCCTGCTCCCGAGAAGACGTGATGGCGATGGTAAATCATCGAAGTTTTCATCGCCATAATCACTGGAGAGAGGCGCTGGGCTCTTTTCCAACTTTCTTTTGTATGAAGGAACGTTCTTGTCCCTCTCCGAAAGGACAGACCTCTCTCGACTTAGATCCTTCTTTCCAGCTTGTGACGTTGACATCTTCATCTTTGAAACATGGCCGTCATTCTTGGGCCCCGTGACACGTTGCTTAGCCACTTGCTTTTTCGAACTCGAGTTACTGGTTGGTGCCTTTGTGATACTTGCGGAAATAGTCAGTTGATTGAGACTACCTTCCTTTTGAGTCGCGGGGATGGTCCGCTTCGGGGGCTTCGGGGGCTTTTCCAAGCCCTCGCGGCAGCAGAAATGCTTGCAGCTGCAATCATTAGCTTAGCCAGCTTAACAATCAAGAAATTTATGGCTTTCTCAAACCTAGTTTTGTCTCTGCATTTATGGTTGCAGGCCCATTTGCCATTCGCAAGTCTGACAGGCTCGTACTCATCCTCTGGCTCGTCCAAGTCCACCCCCCAGTCGTCTTCTCGGGTATTCGAGACCTTCGGTACTCCCTTGGCTGGTCTCGGTGGAGTCGCATCAATGGAAAACCAATCTATGTCATCAAAACCATCAACCTGTCGAGATTGCGGCTTTGTAGATTCCTTTGCTTTGCCACGGGGTTCGTTCGCAACGAGGAAATCATCGAGTTGCAAGTCATCGCCGTCAAAATCGTCCACACTCTGCCGAGACTTGGACTTTATGCTAGTCATATCTCGTCCGTGAGGACGAGACGTGTTGGTCTTCGGTTTCTCTGCGTCTTTAGAATTGAAATTCCTCTCGGGGTGACGAGATGGCAGGTTCGAGGTTTCAGTATTTTTGGCATTGGTATTCTTATCTCGCAGAGCAGCAAAGAGGTGAGATGGCAGGTTAGGTCTGAGCTCAGCTTGTCTCGATGTTCCCGCTGGAGAATTGTAAGCATGAATATAGGTGATGCAATCGCTGTTGTTGGCGTTCAAAAGTCTTACCGATTTCATCACACATAACATGACACACAATAACATGCTCCGAACTCGTCAATTCCGCGGTGAGTTCAATTTCAAGTTTCTCTTGGAGCTTGCCCGCACTTGAAGGGCATCAGCATTTGCCTACAACAAAATAACTAGATGAGCATCTCACCTTGTGCGTCTGAAATCGATCATATGACCATCGGACCTCTCTATCAAGCAACAGACATAAACCGGACGATGTTGGAAGTAGGTCGGGATCTTGTCATTCATAAACGCGACTTCAGCCTTGAATCGGACGTTGACACAGTCAACTTTCATTTCCTGTATCTCACGTTAGCAAAATGGCATTTACCATCATAACGAATTCCAAACCTTTCCAAGCATCTTCACAGAAACCCTCAGTTTCGGAAACTCCTTCAATCTCGAGAGTAACTTCGACCCGAAAGGCGGATTCTTGCTAAGAACCATCTCGATCTGGTGAGCTTCCGCACATTCCAGCCCTTCAATACTAGTGATCCCAGCGGCAGCCAACTTCCGAACTGTAACAATGCCCACTTGCTCGATCTGCTTCATCTGGAGCGGCGAGTGGTCCCAGACCTTTGCTCCAAGGCTTCGGGCGAGTTCAAGGGCATTGAGGATCGTAATTGAGTCACCGCGGGCGATTTGACAGTCAAGTAAGCAGCGGATTAGCCGGTTGACATGTGCAAAAACTAGGCTTTTGTCTTGCTGGAAGCTGAATTTGTGTTTTTGAAGTTGGTCGTTATCGGGATACTCAATTGCCCCTAGCTCGGATTGAAGAAGTAGTGAGATCTTGTGGGCTGGGAGGGCTAGGTCAACCTTGATAGGAAAACGAATCCCTGGGTCACGGTTGATTTCTCGATAGAGTGATTTCTCGCCGGCTTTGAGGCGGATCTCACGGAATTCTTCACCTTGTGCGATCACACTTAGCTGGAACCGTAGTGTTAGTTGTAGTTCTTCATTTCAGCAATCTAGGAAAATACTCACAATTTCAGACAAGGTTGCCTTTGGCTTCAGCGACAATAGAACTTTCATTGTCTCGAACTGGATGTAGTACCGAGCCATAGCTTCGCCAAACTGGGTCGAACAAAGGCTCTCACCTTCGACCAAACCATATTTTTGGAGAAGACTGATATCCTTCTCACAGATATCGCGAAGCAGCTGATCCTCATCTTCTTGGTTCGCCCCTTCCTTCAGCTTGTAATGCGTCGGGTTACGACGAAGCCTTACAAACAAGAACGTACCACCAAGCCATTTCACGGCCGATTCGACGTCCGCGATGTTCCCCAAGCCAACCTCAGCGTTAAGGTGATCAATGAGGTTTAAATGCAAACAGCTCTCCAGACTCTCAGAGCCCTGAACCAGTCTCTCATAGTGGGCCACGCGCTCCTTCCTGGTGAGGATGACTGCTGTAGCACTGTCGTCGAATTGAGGTCGGCCCGCGCGACCAAGCATCTGCATCATCTCCAAATCTGAGTACTCCTTGAAGCCACCATCTTGCCAGCTGGCAGTGTTTTTGATTATGACAAAATGACAAGGCAGGTTGATTCCAACTGCAAGTGTTGACGTGCAGCATATGACGTTGATATTCCCTTCTCTGAATCCTGTCTCGACAGTGTGGCGATCAGCGGGGCCCAACCCAGCGTGATGGAATGCTACACCAGCAGGAAGGGTTGCTATCTCCAATTAGCAATGTGAGTCTAGAAAATAGCTCAGATACATACTCTTCAGGTCCTCGTTATGAGCTTCGAGGCGCTTCTTGGGCCCATTCCAAAGCCTGGCGGGTGGATTTGTCAATGTGAAAAGACGAGCCAACTCTTTTGCCGTCGCGAGGGATGAGTTTCGCGTGCAACAGAATATCATGATGGGCTTCTTGCATGAATGCATTCCAATCACTTCAGGCAACCTTTTCAAGCTCCAATTAGTATGCCAAACGAGTAACTCAAAAGAAAAAAAAGGGACAGAAATCAAAAGGCCACATACTTTGAACCGCAGACTTTATCAAATGCAAACTCATTCAAATTAGATGAATACCCATAGACAACCTTCTTCAGTATTACAGGACGAAACTCCTCGCCGAAATGCTCCCGGTGCGCAGGAACATGCTGGTTTGTCGCATCCTTCCCAAGCCAGGTAGCAATATCCTCGGAGTTAGGAACAGTAGCACTCAGCGCCACAAATCGCACATTCGATCCAATGTTCTTCATTCGAGAAACCACAGCTTCAAGCGTAGCTCCCCGTGTCTCCTTCAGAATATGTACCTCGTCAATGAGAAAGAGTTTCACAAGCTGCATCAACTTCATGTGATCTTTCCATTTCCGAGTCATACTATCCCACTTCTCGGGCGTCGTGATGATGATCTGGCTATTCTGCACGTTTCGCAGTTGCATGTGGTCCGTGTCTCCGGTCAGTTCTGCGCACTTGAGGTTCAAGCTGGAGAACTTGGAGTGCCAGTCTCGGAACCGCTCGCTGCAGAGAGATTTGGTGGGTGCTTGGTAGACTACTTTGAAGCGTTCGTCTTTGAGGGTGTTCAGGAGTCTGCAGATGGCCAATTCCATCACCACTGTCTTTCCGCTGCCGGTTGGTGCGGACAAAACGATGTTGTCATTGCTGTTGTAGACGGAGTGGAAGGATTTAGATTGAATGGCATTGAAAAGCGGGAAGGGAAACATCGAGCGGTAGTTCTCCGGTAAATCATTCACTGATACGAGGACGATTCCCCGCACAGATGGTGGGATGTTACTAAACGGATGTTGACGTTGTTTATTGGCAGTCAAAGCCTCGGGGCTCGCTTGTGCGATCGGTTCCTGAGGTGAGCTCTGACTGGTCTCGTCATTGTAAAGGCCACGATTCGTCTCAAGACTATGCTGTCCCATCCGCATCCCATCCTTCTTCTGCTTAAACAAAGCCAATGGGCTTGACGGAGGTCCTAACACAGGATCCGATGAATCGGATGCATTCCAGCGAGAAGAAGGGATACTCGGGCTTGCTATTTACTTGTCAACCCCAAATCATCAAGACAAAAACGCCAGCACTCATATACAAGCAACTCACGCTGAAAGAATCGAGAGAATTGAGGTGCCTGTGGATCAGGTTGACGAGAGGTTTGAAGCGGCGTTGATCTAGGAACTCCAAATCCTGGATCTTGAATTGTCTTCTCTCTATCCTCCGAGGCTAGAAGTTCCAAGTCTAGCTTGCATCAGCACCCGCCATGATGATAAGTCGACACACTCACCGAAAGCATCCAATTCAGCGTCCTCGCCGTGGGCTGATGATGTCAGGTCAGTGAAAGGTTTACGAAGGGATGAGCTGTTGGAATGCGGTTGCTGGATGTCATTGATCAGTGTCTGATGCATCGTTCCGGTCCCACTTCTCTTTGATGGTGAGGAGGCATATGTGCGCCTCAGAGTGGGCAATTTAAATGGTTTGAGGTTTGAGGACTGATGGTTTCTCCGCATATTGAAATGCGTTCTCGATGATTGGGATTGACTTTGGGGGTTTGTAGTGATGAGTTGCAGAGTGCCTGAGGTCCATCCATGGATACTCCCGATAACGTGACGGCACGCGGACCAACCATACCTTTCAAGTATCTGAGTATACTGTAACGGTGTCATTTCAATATCAGTAAGTATAGGAACTGTCAAGTATTGTGGGGTATGTGAAAGTGTTTCATTGCTTCGTATATACGCATACATGAGCCAAAGGCAGCAAAACATCTTGACAGCAAGAGGACATGCAAAAATGGGGAGCGAAGAGTCGCTAGCTCCAAATTAGGAGCGACATCAAGAATAGTAAAAGGGACTGGCGACTGGCGACTTTCTTGACGATCGCAGTTACCTCCACATCTATCAGGTATCCAGTATCATTTCCCGTAAAGAAGCATCTCATCACGTAGGTCAATATCAATGTGCATAGCAAGGTACGCAATCATTTCTCATCGAAATAGTTTGCGCTCGCATTCCGACTAGAGCTTACTCTAGTATGGCCAGGTGCTGGTGAGGTGGGACGGGATGACGACATGCCGTCAGAGAGGAAAGGTGAGGTGGGAAGTTTGATAGAAAAGTCGTTGGGAGGCGCCACCGGGGAACCATCGGGACCTGCGGGGTCCTTTTCGTAGGCGTCGATGCGGATTGGAGGTGGACGCAAGGAACCCATTGCAGGGTTGAAGGTGGGGTTTCCATAGTAGTGGGTTGCTACCAGGACTGCAGCTGAGCCCAGGAGGAACTATGATGTCTCAGTCAGTCTTGTTCATAATGTGCATGTGGAGGGGGGCTGGGAAGTGCTAAAAGACGCAGGGGACGTACGCTTGCAGTGACCTCATATTCAAATAGCCAAATGCTTCCAACAATGCTCAGAATTATGTTGGCGGTCGTGGCCAAACTCCTTGCATCCCTCTGGGCGTTGCTGGCGTAGAATGCAGAAACGATACCACCCAAGGCTTGGATGATGATAGTAGACCACACCGCCCAATTGTAGCCCTGGAAGAAGCCGTCTTCGGCGATTTTTTCACCATCCCGGAAAACAATTCCAATGAAGAGAGCCGGGAAAAGGGAGTAGACGGCTAATTGCACATTGCGGACCCACAACGAGATGTGGTTCGAGCTGTCCCTTAGGACTTTCTCGAAATAAATGCCCGCAAGTCCAGAAGCCAAGGACGCTCCGATAGTCGCAAGGAGACCAATTGCGGGGTTCAAGTGTGGGTCGGCCGTCAGGATGTCCTCTTCAATCCCTTCGTATGTTGCAGACCGCTTGTGCAAACTGCTGCCAGCACCAGCACCTTGCTTGACAGCCTTCCACTCCTCCAAGGATCGTGGGAAATGGTAACTGGCGTGATCATCCTGCAGCATCTGCTCGGGGCTGGCATCGGGGATTTGCACCAATGCCACGCCCACAACGAGAAGCAAAAGCAGGCCCCACTTTCGGGCGGGGATGCTCCGTTTCAGGAGCATCAGACCAAATATCGCAGTGGTAAGGAACTTCAGCTGGAATGTAATCTGGAACGACGCAGCCCGTAGGTTCGAGAGCGCAATGTACAGGAGGGAGTTGGACAAGACGTCGAGCGCGGCAGGGATAGCGAGTTTCCAGCTGTCGCCTGAGAACACGGCACTTGTGAGGGAGAAAAAGAGAGAGGTGGCGGGCATCGAGGGTGGTGCGGTTTTGGAGACGTCGTAAAGCGCCATTGTGAGGGAGATAGCCAGCTTCACCACTTCGACTAGGAAGACCGCCGTAGAGGTCAGGTAGCGTTTACCATCGGTTGGGGGCATCACTCGAGAATAATGGGCTAGCTAGAATATCGTTCAAAAAGAATAGATTAGCCTTCCATTCCTATCACAAGGATTTTCCACGTCGCGCAGGGTGACTTACCAACACAAACGCAGTCGACTCCGCCGTGAACTAGAAAGAACCCAAGCTAAGTCAGCGACCAGAGTTCCCAAACCGCAAAGGCCATATAATTCCCAACAAGGTCGTACCAGAATCCATGGCGCAAGACTGGCCGCAGTTCGAAGCCCGGATGGCTGGCGTTGGGCGCGCTCTCCCATAACGAAGTAGGAGGTCGCGTGTTCCCTCTAAACAGTGGCTAATGTTTCCGCAAAAGGGACACGCAGTGCAATCCCCAGTCCGGTGAATGTGGTGAATGATTTCAGTGGAGGGAGCGACAAGAAAAAGTGTGTACGATGTTGAGCAAACTGTAAATCCCAATTCGCGAACCAGGGGTGTGGGTTGTTCTGGAGATCTTCCCTTTTAGATCCCGATAGGGTTTCCCGAGGCGATCGGAGGTGATGTGGGTGGCTGGGAGACGAAGGAGAGGATGGACATCGGTTAACTCCACTATATGAAGGAGATTATGTCGAAGAACTTGGGAAAAGAACTTGAAAAGGAAAAGGAAAGGATAGATCTCAGGAAGACAGTAATCTGGGGGGGGTTATAGTTAGACGAGAAGGTCGGCGGTCAAAGAGTCAACGGGGTTGATCAGAGACCAAAGGTTCGAGCGCTGAAGGTTCCTCCCTACATTAGGTAAGTGTGTACTCTGTACATTTACTCCGTAACTAATAGTAGTTCGGTACTCCGTACAGGAATCTCATATCACATATCGAATGTGAGGGCCTGTGAAATTGACGCCGGATATGACCACTATGGAGGCTGTTTACGGCCGCATTTCCACCTGTTTCCCGGGCCGAGCTGCGCAGTCCGGAACACTTAACATAGTAAATGCGATAAATTACAATTTGATATCTCAACAACCATCGGTTATATAGGGATTCCCATCTAGATTAATACTTTTTAGGTCATATCCGGCCTCTAAAAGAAACGTAGAGATATTCCAAGACTTATCGATCAAAATATATAGTTATATTTCTAGCTCACAGCAACTGTTGTAGCTATAGTGCAACAAAGCTAGAATAATAGAGACAAACCTAGCGGCTAATTACCAGAAAACTCTCATTTGGATTGCGAGGAGACTGGACAGGGGACAGGTCGCAACGTCGAATGTCAAGTGGCTGGGTTCACTGAAGGAAACCTATTGCGCAGGCTCTGGAAATTGAGGCTGAAAGCCATTCGGCAATGCAATTGTGGGGATAGGTTGGCATGATTTTCAGTCGTAAACAACAGCTGTCTGGGTTATAAGTTTTTCTAACACAAGGGAGAGTCGAGACCCTCCTCGAATTGCCAGAGGAAATCCTCCCACCCTGGCGGCACGTTGATAATGACGAGCTCATGAAAGCCCTCATATAACAGACAGCGTGGAATATGTGTCCTAGTAAACCCGCCTCATCTCAGCTGCAAGTTCGTCCAGCTCTGTAGCGTTGGCGCGGTCATCGCGAGCGCAGAATCAGCTCCAACCATGCACAGCCTCGCGAAGAGTATTTTGAATAGCCTCCTCAAACTGTGGCTGTATTTTGAACCGAGCTGCGGAGACCACAGTTCCCGATGAGACGCTCGGGGGAGTTAAAGAAAGAGTAGACATGGCGATGGCAAGGGGATAGAAGTGAGAGAGATCAGGGGAGAAGAGAAGAATAGGGAATGCGGTGTTAAAATACTTGTGTACAACAGTCGGCCAAGAGATCTGCCAATTCACTTCAGATTCAGTTCACTTTAGAAGTCCCTATACCTATATAGTGAATCCTATATTATACGTATTGTGATAGAAGGCTTCTTCCGTCTAAGAAGGGAGTAAGATCCGATTGCCATATACGATATTACTCCTAGACATACTACTAGAGAGACTCTTGATTTCTTTATGAAAGAGCTAGCTTTGAGAACTTACAAACTGCGATGCGCCACGCCCTTACACATATAACAGTTTTGTTCGATCATACGAGGCAGCTGTACGCGGAGATCGACAGCTCGATAAAATCCTAAAATCCAATAGGGCCAAAGTCCCTAGTGGTCGCTATACATTGCAATATACAACTGAGACCAAGCTGGACCGCCATTTTGGGGCAAGACTAGGTGGAGAATGGGAAAAGAGCATTGTACAAGTTCGGTTGATGAATTGGTGATCATTGAGAGTATTAATGACAACAGTCATGAGCCGGAAATAATGAAATCGTAAGAAAGGCACAAAAATCACCCAAGTTAAATATGATAGCAGGTATAGAAGCCTGTGTGAACGCTAATTCAAAAAGCAATGAAGAGATAGTGGGAAGTGAGAAGAGACAGGAGGGGTCATGTAGGAAAGGGACAAGTGAGGTCTATGTGAAAACAAATGCTTGCAGCAAAGTGCTGCAAGATGCAATGAAGTCAAGGAAATGTAGAAAAGACTGTGAGGAGATCAGATCATGTAGGAATACAGAGGGAGTGAGAGAAGAGTGAAATAGGAAATGTACGGGGTGGAGTGAGAGTGTTGGGTATCAAGGGCCAGGCGATCAGTGCACAGAAGCGATATTAGCGCGTTCGCGGTTCCAATCAAAGTCGAAAGACCAGAGAGGAAGACCGTTGTTGCTTTTTGACTCAGCGCCATCATCTAGAAGGATGGCCTCGCTACTATCGGTGCGGCGGCGGGTGTGCTGCTTCTGATCTGCGGGGATGGCTGGCGGGGGTCCTCTTGGGGGTGGCTTCGGAGAGGGAAGCGGCGAGAAACGATGAATTGGCAATGTGGGGGTCATCGGTGAAGCACCGCTGGTGGAAGGGGATGGCAAGCTCTCCGAGTAGTCCGCACTGAAACCAGAAGAGGAATTTTTAGTGCAAGGTTTCCGTTCACTATCCGACCCCGAGCTTTGGGAGGGCGTTCCATCTTTGTATTGGGTAGCACCCTTTTCCGACCGGATGTCGAATGGCGGGAATACATTGCTGAGACGCAGGAATGAGGTGTCGGATCCGCAGAAGGAATCGCGGGATGGGCCAGAGGCTAGTGACCTTCTGTCTGCCCCTTGAGCATTAAACAGACTCGGTGTGACCTTGCCCTTTCGAATACGCATGGCCTCCAGGAGATCTTGCTCTTGGCGGGTCACGGCGATCACACGACTCCTCCGGTTCAACTCTTTCAATTCTGCGGGGGAACGGAGAGGCTGCTGGGGGAATTGGGCCAGAATCTCATCCGGGAGAGTGGGAACTCCGCTCGAAGGGCGAGTTTGCGTGGTTCGTCCAGTTGTTTGAGACTTGTCATTCGAAGATTGGGCAACCTTTCGTGGGCGAGGCACTGGCACTGGGAGGCTGTTTTCCGTTTGGCGGGAGCCACGGGTGCTAGTCGAGAGTTTCCGGTCAAAGCGTCTTACCGCCGTGGCAGTGGTCGCGTGGGCAGTGGAAGCCGTGTAGATCTGGGGGTCGTATTCGTCGTAAGTAGCCGCACTGTCTCTTCTAGTCTTGCTCGTATTGCCCTTTGACTCGGTGGTTGGAGTTTGATCCTCGTCACCCTCGTCCTCTGAAGAAGAAGAGAGGCAAAGCATACTGGTGTTTCGCAGATCTTTGTTTTTCAAGGTGCTTTTGCTGCTCTTCTTGGTCAATGAGCTCTTCTCGCTCTTTGGTTTTGATTCATTGGTCTTCCAAGATTCCTGGGATGTGCTTGCACCGCGACCACGCTTTGGGTCTGGACATGTGGCAGGGCTCAAGTGCGTCTCCTTAGGTCGAGAGGGGCTGTGAGCGCGTCTTGAGTTCTTCCGAGGTTCCTGGGGGCGTTGCGGTTCTTGCTGCAATTTCTCGCGGCTAGTAGTATACATGCTTGAGCGACTCAAAAGTGATCGTCGCCCCGCATATCGATCCAGGGCCAAATCAATCTCACTCGTCCCTACTGTCCGCTCAAGCGGTTGTTCCAACCATTCGCTACTTTTGCTCTCTGCAATGGAAGGCAAATCCGAATTATCACCACCATGCTTGGGTGGGTCATTTTTGGTGATCGAAGATCGGCGAGGAGGGGGAGGTGGGTCGAGGTATCTCTTCGTAGTAGAATTGCTCGTACCGCCGGTCATCCTTTCAATCTTGTTGGAAGATTCCGGGACAACTGTAGAGACGGGAGAAGGGGAGTTGACCATTCGGTGGGGGGAAAGAAGAGTTTGTTGTGTGGGATTTCGTGGCTTCGGGAACAAGACGGAAAGATCGATTTTTGGAGGACGTATCTTCCGCTTGGACTCTTTCGGCGGATCTTGAGCCTGTGTGTGTGTCACTTCTGGCTGACTCCCGAGTCCATGGCGTACTCTAAGTTGTTGTTGGTTCTTAGGTGATTTGGAGGATTTGGAGGATTTGGAGGATTTGAGTGATTTGGCGGATTCTTTCGAGCTGAAATAGGAGAAAAGGGTGGACGAGGAACCAGAATGGTGAACCTTTTTCGACGGCTTGGGGAGCGGCGGTGCGGCCTCCTGCGATCGGTAGTCATGGCCTAGTAGAGGCGAGGAAGCCCGTACGCGAAGGTTTTGATCGGGGGAACGAGAGTATTTTCTGAAGAGCGCGGGAACGGAACGAAGCCGGTGCTTTGCTTAGGAGCACTATTGGGTGGCTTCACAAAGCTCGGTCGGGATACATTTGGAGGCTCCTGCCACCCGCCATGTTCCGTAGGAAGTGATATGTCGGTTCCGAAAAATCTTTGGGCTTTCGAGGTTCGTCGGTCGATTCGGGTCTGATCCTGGGTACTCATTGGGTCGTGTTGTGCCGGTTTGCGACTCGATGTTCGAAGCGGCACATGGACGGGTGTGATCTCTCGGTGTCCCATGATGGGAGGAGTGGGCAAGTTCAATTGCTCATGAAATCGTATGATGTGATGGGCTCATAGGTTCATGGGCTCACGGTGCACAAAATATGTGGCAGCTCAGCGGGGCCTAGGTGGTTCAAGTATTGTTTCGGGTTCGACTCAAATCTACTCCACCAAATTAGTTCATTAAGTCTACAATTTAGGGGAAATTGAGCTAGGCGTCAACGTCAACGTACCTGGGAAAATAGAGATAATTTTGTTGATGTTTTGGTGTTTCGGTAGTAACTTGGAATTTTGGGAGAAAATAAAAAGATCCGAGGAAAACGCGTGTGTCAAATTGGGGTCGGGGATGTGTTTTTTGTATTTTGTACTCCGTACGTCGACAAGATAAATTATTTAGAACTTTGGAAGGGTTTCCTATTTCTACGGGTCTGAAAGGGGGAAGAACTCCACAGATGCCTTGAACAAGATGCTCATAGGCTGAAAAGCAGTGTTTCATTTATTCCAATTTTAATTGCGAGTGGAGCACGGCATCTCCAGAGCTGATCGACATGGAATATTAGAAATAATAGAAATAATAGAAATAATAGAAATAGTACACGGAGTAGTATAGGATGTGATGGCCTCGGGGAATTCCAGAGTTGCTTGTGATAGCTGTGAATGTGAAATCAGGGGTTGACCATGTTCGATTTGTTATATGTACCTATTATAAGCCTATAACTAACTATAACATGCATTTGCATCATACTATTATTCTTGGTACAATACTCCATCCATTTAAACCCTAGGAGATTTAATCCCCTTACTGCGGTATCATGCAACCTAAAAAAAAAAAAGGAAAGAATTAACCAACTTCCGTGAAGAACGTGGTGGCTTTGTATTCTCCGTGGATATACGCTATTGACGCCCACAGTCCTGTTCACATCCTTGCTGTCTCTAACTAATTGGAATTATTTATCTTCTGCTCCACTCATTTAACTACCTAGGTATCCAATCCCCTTCCTATCCACTCCCATGGATACTTTTTCCCTATTCCGGACAATATACAATATACTCACAAAGCTATAGACTGTGGAGTCCACTCGAGGGCTAGAGCCCAAGACTATGGAGAATTGCACTACAACATATGTTGTACAGAGTACAATACGAATACTCCGTTGATGATGCTACTACGGTCCCGTCTGAGAGCCAAGATCGACAAATCGATCGTTCACCGGCCCAATGCGAAGCCCCCTAAGATCTTGTTATGCACGAAGGCTCCAGTATTATAGATGAAGTCTACCCCACTCAATGTGCTCCATGACAAATATCTGTGGACTCCGTAATCGTAACCCTCCCCTTGAATTCCTGAGGGAGTGAAATTTCGATTACGGAGTACGGAGTAAGAATACTCGCGTTTCCCGGGTAGCCATCGCACATGCATGTACGAAATCCCACAGGAACTGGTAATGATCGACCTGCATGTGGGTTCTTTTAAACTCAACCTTTCACCTGTGCTGGGAAAGGAAATGGACTGAGACATGAATTTGATCGTTTGTCGTCTGACAGTTTTGACGGCCCATGGTTATACGGAGTATGGTTATCTGTATTCCATATACCGGGGACCTATAATATAAGAGTGGGCAACCAAGACAAGTAATCTCCCTAAAAATAAAAAAAGGGCACTGTAAACAAACTTTTTTATCCTTGCAAACTAAATTGCAACTAAGCCCATATGCCACGTCTTAGACCCACGAGGCGGAACAAACAGTGTTGACACTCCGGGGGTCGCAATTTCACTCAGATCGAGATCCATGTTCCTTGTTCATCCGAGATCGATTCATCTTCCTTGTTCATCCGAGATCGATTCACCGAATGCCGATCAACCTCCTGATGGGGAATTAGTTCGGTCTGCACACTCCGAGGACTTGCGCGTGCGAACCAACAAGAGGAAATGAACCACAAACATAATATTCGAATAACCGTTAGAAGCGCGACTCGAAAAAAAAAAATCTAAGAATAACTCCGTTACGCCACATTTTATCCCAAGTCCAGTCAATGGAACATACTGTTTGTTAAATTCAGGCTAGTGGTTTGGCAGGTGGCTAGGCCAAATTGTCATGCGGAGACCCCCCTGATGGTCGCCAATAGTCGGTTCCAATAGCTTAGTATGGATCCAGGGTTTCGGTTACGCTCTATTGTCGATCTATTGTCTGTGGTGCAGATCAGGGAACGAAAATCAGGGAAAAACCTCCACATTTGACATCCCACTTCCCAAAATTTGAGGTTTCACTTCGTACATCTTTTTGCGACAAAACTGGACCAGAATATCCAAGTAGGTAGGATGATGGGCTAAAGATAGCAGATGGGGGATGAAAACATAATTATCTACACGATGGAACAAGTTTAGAAGAGCTTCCATCGCAACCCTTCTTTTTTACTCGGTCAAGCTAGCTACATATCTACTCCATATTCCATACTTACTCTAATATGATGTGCATCAAAAGGTTCAGTCTCATGGACTGTGCTGCATTCAAAATAACCCAGCGTTCTGGAAGAAGTGGATACGAATCCAAAGAGTTGGGAAACGCTAGTCCTATATACTCCGTAAACTACTGCGACCATTCCTCTATTTAAACTTCATTTTCTTGGCCTCCCGAGTATAAACCATATCTTCAAATCCCTCTCCATCTTTCGAATCCAGCAACCGCTTCGACACGCTACTTGAGGTCTCCCCCTCGAAGAAATACCCATTGGCAGAAGGGTTAGAGCGAACCCGCTCCCAAAGTTTAGGTTGCCAGCGAGGGTCGATGGTATTATCCCACTCACCAGACACACTAAGTTCAGTACTGAATAAGGGTACACCAGACTTGGACCAATGTGATCGAATCAGTGGCAGGGGGTTAGGAGGGGGTATATCGTACTTCTCGATAATTAGATCATGTATACCAGAATGTATGGAGTCACTTACATATTCTCCGATGAGCAACATCGGGTCCAAGATTTCGCTGCAGATGGTGTGGCAGGCTGGCATGGTCTGGTTGAGCCAGAATTTGGAGTGCCCTAGCTTATGGTGGTTTTCATTCCTGACACGGAACGATCCCATGATGCCAAGTTTCCGGATAATGTGGAATGCTGCACGAGCCTCATCGTCGCTACAATCTGGCTAATATTAGATGAATGTTTTGGAAGGATGGTGGTTGCTCTTACTAAGGTCTCTGGCCAGTTGCCAATTCAAAAAGTGTGATTTTCCAACAGTTATGACATAGTGAATTGTTCTTCGTGTTCGGGTAAGCTTGATCAATTCTTTCATCAGGTCATTGTCAAATTCGTGTCCGATCAAGCAGCTGTAGCAGTAATGTATGTCTGGGATTCGTGCGTCCTTGGCAGAGTAATAGCCATAGCACAGGGTGTGTTGCCAGTCTTTGCAATTCGCACATTGTATCTTGCAAAGTTGGTTAAAACTGATCACTGATTTGACACCACAACTTGATGACTTACAGATTTCCTGGGCTTGAAGTTCCAAGTGTTGCACTCACACCGATAGTGGCGCTGATCCCTGTGTCCATATTGAGTCATGCTGTCACTTGGCCCAGGCAGATTCTCTATGTTGTCCTTGTTCTCCTCGTCCAGCTTCTTGGTGGCACCGTGGCGGTTCTCGACATAGTATACCGTGCTTGCTTTGACAGTGGGCTTTGACCCCACGATCTGCACACGACGTATGTATTTCTCCGGAACAAAGTCATTTCGAGTCCATCTACGAGACTGAGAAAGAGAAACGCTATCGCGGCTAACGGGAAACGTTGTTTCTTCATCTGGCCAATTGAGAGGTATCCTATTTTTTCTCGACCTTCCAAGGCGAGGTGGTCTTGCGACAAGGTTGGCTTCAAAAGAGTCATCTGAATCAACTTCGACGGACTCAGCTTGTAACCGAGCCTTTTTGTGCACCCAAGACTGTTGATTTTCCAAGTCTTCTTGATTAAAGAAGATTCTGTCCTCCACTTTATTCTCCGTCTACTGAAAGTCAGCACTCGTTGAATGGTTTGGGTAGGAGCGGCAATAACGGCAAACTGACATATCGTTGTGATTCTCTGTCTCTCATCCTATAAGATATCATCGCCAATTTGAATGAGCTGTATTGAGACTCTAAGTACTCGTCAAGGGAGATTGTTGGGCCTATATTGAACAAAATATTTAGTTATGATATAAACAAGGTGAATCAGGGACGAATGTTTACCGTCCGTGGAACCGGCAGCGCTTTCATCAGTGGAGACATCTATCTCTCCAACTAGGTCCAATGGCATTTGAGCAGGCGTGGGGATTCCGACCTCGTCAGAACGGAGCACTAATTCGTCGTTCGCTTCCTCCACCGGGGGGAAGTAAGCTTCGCCACCGGGTGAGGTAGAAAGTAGAGAATTCACTCTTAATCCGAGTCTTCCTTATGTTAGACCTGAGCCTCAATTAAACCAAAGGAAATGCTAAGAAATTAGGAGGCGGAATAAGGAAACATACGTGTGGAAGCCGCTGTCGACACTTCCGTAAAAGCGCCTCGTCCTTTCCCAGTACGAAGTCCGCGGGTACTCAATAGTGTTGTCCTGGGAATCAGCAAATCCAGGCATATCGTAGGATCCAGGACACTCCGGTTTGTGGAATACATGTATTCCCAAGCTGCACTCATCTAGTCAATTCGTGAGTGATAGCACCAGGAATGGGCAACTATAGAGTGCACATACTAGGCAATGGCGGGCTTTGAGCACACATTGTTCTCAACCGTCGGATGAGGGCCTTCCCTTCAAAAATCATATTACGCATGCTCGCTCGATCCTCAACGGGACTGACAAAATCCATCCTTGGACCGTTGGTTAAGCGGTTTGCAGTGCCGCGCTCACCGAAATTGTCGAAGGTGAAGGTGTAAGATTCCAGAACCTTGTTTGGCGAGTCTTTATCTGCAAGGACGGTAAACTGGACGGCATGTAGCACGCCTCTTATTAGAGCATCAAAGATGCCATTCTCCTAAAACAGATAGATATTAGCACTACTCAATAAACATACAGATATCGAGGGACACACTAGAAGGTCGAGAAGCTGATCGGCTTCATCACTCAGGTGTCTTTCAATCACCCATATAGGAACATACTCCAATCGGTTACGTCCAAAATTGCCCTTGTTCTTCCCATTTACAAAATGGGTATAGTTATAGCACTCGTGAACGCGGTTTGTTCGCAGAATCCGCTCGCCAAAGGCATCCACAGGCAATAATCCACTAGATTCCATGTTTCAGAATGGGAATAATACATTTGAAGGTTATATAGGTCATGACTAACCGCATAAATAAGAGCGATGCGATCTGTAAGGCGCATGTTAGAGCGGCCACAGAAACATTGACATCGTGGGGAAATTCACTTACGGTCATATGTAGTGTTATCTTCATCGACTCCAGGCTTTGCTCCTATTATACCATAAAAGTTGGTTGGGTTCATCTCGGGTGCTATTGATTCAGTAGGACTACTCACGATCACGGGAAAACGGTAGATTTTATCTGCTTGGATTTCGGGCTGGGGTGCCCCAGACTTGGAGACAGTCTTGAACGCTATAGTTTTCTTAGGGCGAGGCATGATTCTAGCTGCATGAGTATGACTGACCGAAAACGAGAATCGAACATTGTAATGGGAAAAAACGAGGATAGTATATTTCTATGCGGAATGTGGACAAAGAGGTACAAAGAGAAATTTAGAACGGCGAGTTCTAAGAACAAAATCTCTTTTACCTCAGTCGCTAGACATTAACAAAGGAATGCCGTATATCCTGAAACACATTGGGAATCGGCAAGTCTATTCATAGACACTGGAAGGACCTTAATGTGACCCAAGGATGTAGGCATGGCTGTATAGAGCCTATGGTAAATTGTCTACCGATCCTTTCATCTTAAACTTTTTCTTTCTGGCATCAGAAATTTGTAAACGTCATTTTGCTCTGAAATATATATTCGGATAATTTTGTCTCCTACTAGGTTTCCAACAAACAAGAGGCCGGGTGATTCGAAGCCATATTTCTCTACGACCTATTATCTGTCAAGACAAGTCTAATACTGCGAAATATTATCGATCAAGGATATCATAGGAGGCAGGGCTGAAGAGTTGTAGTACGTAAAAGCAACCAAACCCTAAATAGTTAGATGCGGGGGAACCTCGGGAGACCGAGACATCTCAGATATCGGTGGATATTCTACCTGGGCAAGATGTGCTTTGCATGAGTAAGTAGTAAGGGGCAACAGTCTACAAAATTATTATTCCATACCCCCTGTGTCTTGTGTCTTATGTCCGATAAACCCCTAGTAAATAATTTCTTCAACATAACAATGAGATACAACTTGCCAAGAAGCCACCCGAGGCACGCCACCTCACGTGATATGTGGCGATGGCAAATCCAGAAATTTGATAGCAACTTGGATTTGGATGAATAGATTACAACAGGTCGCTTATATGACCGTGTCATGTTTTTTTGGTTGGTCTTTTTGGAGGTTCTTTTGTAGGTTCTTTTTAGACGTTGTATGAAGGCGGTAAAAAGTATGGACTGTGTAGAAGACTTTCCGATGTATAACCTTGCCAACCTTGATAACCTTTGATATATTATTTAGGGGTAAATATGAATATATTATATCTATTACGTTGTTAACGGTATAGGCAAAAGGACATTTGGAAGTCCATCTGCTTATCTGACTGTCATTATCCTCGGTCCCACCACTATCTGGTGATTACTGCCGGTCTAGAATAGACCCCAAAGGGAGAGGGGGTTGTTTTCTCCAGGTTTCACACTCGGATCATTTTGGATTTAATATAGACAATAACAAAGATAGAATATTTAATATATATAAAAAATATATATTCTAACAAAATAAGCAAAGAGTTCACAAAAGTCAAAAGAAAAAGATACAAAAATCACCAAAAAAAAAAAAACATATGTAGCACGTTGGGCCATGACATCGTCCACCTACGGGAACCGGAATAAATGTTGTTCTCCGCCCCAACTCCTTGTCAGCCGCCACTGTTTCTTTCTTCCCCTTCCCTTTACTTCCTTGCTTCCATTATTTGTGTTTTTGTTTCCACCCCCCTAACAACATTGAACTTGCCTATTCTCCGTTCTAGCATGTGCTGAATGCCCTTTGCATTGGTGGTTCAGCTGGTGTACCGTGCTGAGGGGGTGTTTTGCTAAAAAAAAAAGAGAGAATTTGCGAAATCACCGTTCCTTTGTCTTCTTGCATGAGCTCGCTTTACAATGAGTTCAAATGCTCCTACCTCCCTTCAAATATTCGACTTCGACTCGCCTTTGACTGATCAAAACGCGTCCGTATCTGTGCCCTCTCATGCGACCCATAGCCCCGGATCCCGATTCACTCATCCTCGAAATCACGAAATGGACGAAAGAGAGGAGCTGGGCCAAGGTCCATCAAACGCGGCTATCGGACAGTTCACATTTGCCCCTACTACCAGAACTACGGTGGTGACAACTACCACAACTACCACAACCTCCTTCCCACCTCTGACCATCAACCCCCCGCGAGCCGTCAAGGATCTGGATGTCCGCCAGTACCCTCTCGCCTCATCTCCGACTCCAGCGGCCTTAAGAAACCTCAAGTTCAAGATCGGCGACAAGTCCATCATCTTTAACGAGCCTGAGGATACCACAAATGCTGCCGCTGAGGTACGATTCTATGCTATCCTCTCGGTTTCCATGGTTCCAATGCTTACAGTATAAACAATATATAGTACAAGGAGAAAAGCGAGGCGTTGAAATCCTCAAACGGCCAGATTCGCTCTGTGAACTCGTTCATCTCCGAGGGTGAGAACCCCACTCGCCGGCTAACCCCTCCGAGAATAGCGAGTCAACCTTCTAGTCACCCGTCTAACAGTCGTCGTCGTGCCGTCTCCCCCGTCTCACTGTTTGATGCTCGACCTTCGGTTCTCCCACGAACTCGCCCGTCACGAGTTCCTTCTGAGCCCATTACACGCCGCACTCGCCAAAGTGGCGTGGGATCAACTTATCTTGCCGCTGGCCTTGCCACCCCAGACACCGAAAGCAACCTGGGGGGAGCTGGTGAAAATGCGGCCCCAAGACCGAGGATCCATAGCTCGGTGTTTCCGCGCAGGGAACCCCCTTTGCCGTCACCTCTCTCCTCTGAAATCGGAGCTAAAGGCTTGCAGGCATCCAATCCAAATTCCTACTTGCAGAATGCTGGGATTCGTTCAAACCCCGAAAATCAAGAGTCGCAGGCCACTGAAGCGGATGAGGATGGCTCAACTGCACCTGAATCGGCTTCATTTAATGATACAACATATGGAACCCAGGAATCTGCAACGCAAGAACGACCTGAGCTAATGTCTCAACTATCGGCAATAGACAATGCCATGGCGCAAGATATGTGCCTCCCGAGCCCAAGCCTCTCACCAGTCGCTGCTATGAATGCCCTCCATGGCGAATCCTCCTTCGAGTCGGAAGGGCTTGACGTTGATACAGATTCCAGTCTAGATCACAATGTCTCGCGTCTCTCTACGGCTATGCGGCTTCAAAACTCAGATGAGACTCGTGTAAATGGCCATTCTCTCGCAAACTCCCGGTCACCTCCTTCACTTTTAGATATGCCCAAGGTGTTGGAGTTCTTTGATTCGGTGCCTGACGAGGTCAAGACGTATCTCATGTATCAATTCCTTCGGAGATGCCCTAAGCCCACTCTCCATTTCGTGGCCGATGTGGTTAACCCAACTTTGAAGTGCGACTTCCTAGCTCTTTTGCCGCTTGAGCTCAGTCTCAACATCGTCAAATACCTTGATGTTCAAACCATGTGCCGTGCTGCGCAGGTGTCTAAGAGGTGGAGGCACATCACCAATTCTGATGAAAAGAGCTGGAAGAACCTCCTTGACCAGGATGGATATCATCTCTCAGATGGAGAACTAGAACGGGCTATAAGACAGGGGTGGGGATGGCAGTTGTCCAGCGGCCCTGAAGATCACGAGGAAGATCTCAGCGTTGTGGCCCTATCCAGGGCAGATACGGAGGCGTCCCCTGTCCCTTCGATGGCGGGCCCCAGCAGCAGAAGCCCTCTGGATTCTCTGCCAGTCAACCGACGAGGCAAGCGGAAGGCAAACACGCGTGCTTCAAGCCGGAAGCTTGCCAAGCGGAAGGCCTCATCCAGTGGAGGAGAAATCGCCGATCCAGACTGGAGGAAAGATGTTGCTGCGTCCGAGGCTCCATACGCCGCTTCCAACGCTGCAGCTGCCGCAGTGCCCTATGCTGAAGTGGGTCTGCCGTCTCTCCGTGGACTGTTCCTCTTCAAGGTCCTCTACCGTCGCCATGTTGCCATCCACAAGGGATGGATGCAACCGGATGTCAAGCCACAACATATTGCTTTCCGTGCTCATGACCGCCATGTTGTTACTTGCCTGCAATTTGACGCTGACAAGGTTCTTACGGGAAGCGATGACACTAATATCAACGTATACAACACCAAAACAGGTGCATTGCAGGCAACATTGGAAGGTCACGAAGGTGGAGTGTGGGCTCTTGAGTATCATGGCAACACGCTAGTCTCTGGCTCTACTGATCGCTCAGTGCGAGTCTGGGACATCGAACGAGCCAGGTGTACTCAGATCTTCCACGGCCACACCTCCACTGTCCGGTGCTTGCAAATCGTCCTGCCTGCCGAGGTCGGTAGGGATGCAAGTGGTCATCCTGAGATCATGCCTAAGGAACCATTGATCATTACTGGGTCTCGTGACTCGAACCTTCGGGTGTGGAAGCTTCCCAAAACCGGCGACCCAGTCTACTACCAGAGTGGTCCTACAGTGGATGACGCTAGCTGTCCATACTTCATGCGTGTGCTCTCCGGCCATCAGCACTCTGTTCGTGCAATTGCAGCCCACGGTGATACCCTCGTGAGTGGTAGCTACGATTGCACGGTGAAGGTTTGGAAGATTTCCACCGGACAGACTTTACACACTCTGCAGGGTCACTCGATGAAAGTGTATAGCGTGGTTCTTGACCATAAGCGCAATCGTTGCATCAGTGGAGCCATGGACCACATGGTAAAGGTGTGGTCACTAGACGATGGAGCCGTCCTATACAACCTCGAAGGCCATACCTCCCTCGTTGGTCTGCTCGCTTTAGAGCGTGATTTCCTTGTCTCGGCTGCCGCTGACTCCACCCTTCGAATCTGGGACTCCGTGCATGGGCACTGCAAGAACACCTTGAGTGCACACACGGGTGCCATCACTTGCTTCCAGCATGATGGGCAGAAGGTCATCTCAGGGTCTGATCGGACACTGAAGATGTGGGATGTACGAAACGGCGAATGTGTTCGAGACCTCCTCACAGACCTAAGTGGCGTGTGGCAAGTCAAATTCAATGACCGGAGATGTGTTGCTGCAGTGCAACGTGACAGTTTGACTTATATTGAAGTAAGTGTTCTCTGAGACTTTTCAATCATTTATGCTAATATTACTTCCACCTAGGTTCTCGACTTCGGCGCTGCCCGGGATGGAGTCCCGGAAAGCAAGCTCGCGAAACGCATTGTCGTCAACCGACGTGGGCAGGAGGTCCTCGGCGGAATCGAAGATGACGA